GGTCTCGGAGGGTCGGCGAGAGACAATCCTGGGTTGCTGAGATTATTTCTCTCTCATTGTGTGAGCCCAACCTCTTGGGTTGGACGGTAGAGCGACGGTCTCGCTTCGTGCAGGTCGGTGTTCAATCTCCGACCGCCCGAGAGAGTGAGAGAGTTTTTAGTGAAAAGTGCCAAGCCATTACGACTATATAGCACTACCCCGCCCGAGTGGTTGGGCACCATTCCTTCCCTCACTGTCCCATCCCAAATCTTTATCCTGACCCCTTCCCAGTGCATTATAGTCGTAATGGCTTGCCGCTTCTTCCTCATAGTTCCTTTCCCTTCTCATGGCTTAACACACACACACACACACACACATTGGAAGGAAATGCCTCTGTACCTGAAACATTTGCGGAAAGACTGAAAAAGAGCTCAGAAGCAATGGATACAGTGAGGGAGGTAGCGATGCAAGCTGCTACCTCACAGGAAGCAGCAAGGTGCACCACTCAGCTGCTGGAGAGAAAAACATCAGTGGTAGTTGTAGGCATCAAAGAACAGGAAGGATCCAACAGGCAAGAATGGAATAGCAAGGATAGAGAGGCAGTACGTGGGCTACTGAAGGGGTTACAGATGGAAGGGGCTGAACAAAACATTGAGAAGGTTTTCAGGTTGGGCTGGTACAACAAGGGCAGAAATCGACTTGTAAAGGTGGTGTTTACAAACGAAACCACGAAGGAGGATATTCTCGAAAGGAAGAGTCGTCTGCAGCATGTGGAGGGATACAAAAAAAGTATTCCTGCAGAGGGACAGGATGAAGGAGAGAGCCAGGGCAGCAGAGGCAAGGAGGAAGCGCAGGGAGAAAGGAGCAAACTAGGAAATCACAGCCCCCAACACAACAGTCCCAGAGACAAGAGGGGAACCCAAGACCAGCATCTCAGCAACACCAGAGGGGAGGGCAACACCACCTCCCCCCTCTGCATAGAAACCCTCCCTTTCCCTCACCCTACCTACCCCCACCCAACCCTCCCTCCCCCCACCCAACCCACCCTCCCCCCCCACCCCATTCTGGCCCTGTCACCCCTTCCCCATTCCCATCATGTCCCCCCTCCCACCTTTCCCCCCCCGTCTCCCCTCCCCCTTCATCCCATACCCTCCCTATCCCTCCTTCCCCCCCTCACCCCGTATCCTCCATGTCCCCCCTATCTCCTTAACCCCACACCCTACCTGTCCCCCCTTCCCTTAAACCCCCACCCCCCTCCCCACCCCAAAATCCTCTGAGACCCTGCAAACCACCTCACAGATCTCACCCACGGAACAGCTTCCCACACCAGCAGAATGCTCGCCAAGAAAGGGACATGAAAATGAACAGAAGAAAGTGAGCTTCAAGGCGATGTACACTAACATAGATGGGATTACAAATAAAACAAGTGAACTCGGAGAATGGGCACTAGAAGAAAACCCAGACATAATAGCACTCACAGAAACAAAGCTAACGAAAACTATAACAAACGCAGTGTTTCCACAGGGCTACTATGTAGTGAGGAAAGAGAGAGAAGGGAGAGGAGGAGGTGGTGTAGCTTTGCTACTAAGAGAAGGTTGGAGTTTTGAAGAGATGGTAATTCAGAACTGTGAAGGTTTCAGTGACTACATATCAGTCACCATAGCAACTGGAGGACAGAAAATTATAGTAGTAGTCATATATAACCCCCCACCGAATGACAGAAGACCCAGACAGGAATATGATAAACAACTTGGCCACCATCAATATAATAGAGAGAGCAGCTTCTGTGGCTAGCAGGAACGGATCCAGACTACTAATCATGGGAAACTTCAACCATGGGAAGATAGATTGGGGGAACAGACCCACATGGAGGCCCAGACACATTGAGAGCTAAGCTGCTGGATGTGGCAACAAGAAACTTTCTAAGTCAACACGTCAAGGAACCGACATGAATGAGAGGAGGGGATGAACCAGCCTTGCTTGATCTGATATTTACCCTCAATGAGTCGGATATAAGGGAAGTTAAGTTAGAAGCCTCCTTGGGAATGAGTGATCATAGTGTATTGAGCTTTGAGTACCTGGTTGAGCTAGGAATTATCATCCCCAAAAAAGAACTGGGAAACAAAGGACTGGTGTACCGAAAGAGAAACTATGAGGAGATGAATAAATTCCTATGGGATATACATTGGGACACAGAACTCTGAACCAGGTCCGTACAAGACGATGGACTATGTCACCCAAAAATGTCAGGAGGCTGTAAGCAGGTTTGTCCCAGCCCAACAGGAAAAAACAGAAGCAAAGGAAGAATCCGTGGTTTAATAGGGAATGTATGAAAGCAAAGGAGCTGAACAAAAGGGCATGGAGGAACTTCCATAATAACAGAACACCAGACAGTAGAGAGAGATACCAGAGAACCAGGAACGAGTATGTTAGTGTGAGAAGAGAAGCTGAGAAAAAGTATGAAAATGATATAGCTAATAAAGCCAAGACCGAACCAAAGCTACTACACAGTCACATCAGGAGGAAGACAACAGTGAAGGAACAGGTGATGAAACTTAGGGTGGGCGAGGACAGCTAGGTACACAGAGAATGACAAAGAGGTGTGTGAAGAACTCAACAAAAGGTTCCAGGAGGTCTTTACAATAGAACAGGGAGAAGTCACGGCGCTAGGAGAGGTGGCAGCAAACCAGGTGACCTTGGAAAGGTTCGAAATTACAAGAGATGAGGTCAAGAAGCACCTATTGGAGCTGGATGTGAGAAAAGCTGTTGGGCCGGACGGAATCTCACCATGGGTATTGAAAGAGTGTGCAGGGGCACTTTACTTGCCACTCTCCATAGTGTATAGTAGGTCACTGGAAACGGGAGATCTACCAGAAATATGGAAGACTGCTAATGTAGTACCAATATACAAAAAGGGTGACAGACAAGAGGCACTGAACTACAGGCCAGTGTCCTTAACTTGTATACCATGCAAGGTGATGGAGAAGATTGTGAGAAAAAACCTAGTAACACATCTGGAGAGAAGAGACTTCGTGACAACCCATCAACATGGGTTCAGGGAGGGTAAATCTTGCCTTACAGGCTTGATAGAATTCTACGATCAGGTGACAAAGATTAAGCAAGAAAGAGAAGGATGGGCGGACTGCATTTTTTTGGACTGTCGGAAAGCCTTTGACAGTACTCCATAAAAGGTTGATGCATAAGCTAGAGAAACAGGCAGGAGTAACTGGTAGGGCGCTCCAGTGGATAAGGGAGTACCTAAGCAATAGGAAGCAGAGTTACAGTGAGGGGTACGTGAGACCTCAGAATGGCGTGAAGTCACCAGTGGAGTCCCACAGGGCTCTGTACTTGGACCTATCCTGTTTCAGATATACGTAAATGATCTCCCAGAGGGTATAGACTCATTCCTCTCAATGTTTGCTGACGACGCCAAAATTATGAGAAGGATTAAGACAGAGGAGGACAGCTTGAGGCTTCAAGAAGACCTGGACAAGCTGCAGGAATGGTCGAACAAATGGCTGTTAGAGTTTAATCCAAGCAAATGTAATGTAATGAAGATAGGGGTAGGAAGCAGGAGACCAGATACAAGGTATCATTTGGGAGATGAACTACTTCAAGAGTCAGAGGGAGAGAAAGACCTGGGGGTTGATTTCACGCCAGACCTGTCCCCTGAAGCTCATATCAAGAGGATAACATCAGCAGCATATGCCAGGTTGGCTAACATAAGAACGGCCTTTAGAAACTTGTGTAAGGAATCTTTCAGAACATTATATACCACATATGTCAGACCAATCCTGGAGTATGCGGCTCCAGCATGGAGTCCATATCTAGTCAAGTATAAGACTAAACTGGAAAAGGTTCAAAGGTTTGCCACCAGACTAGTACCCGAGCTGAGAGGTATGAGCTACGAGGAGAGACTACGGGAATTAAACCTCACTTCGTTGGAAGACAGAAGAGTTAGGGGGGACATGATCACCACATTCAAGTTTCTCAAGGGAATCGACAGGGTTGATAAAGACAGGCTATTTAACACAAGGGGCACACGCACTAGGGGACACAGGTGGAAACTGAGTGCCCAAATGAGCCACAGAGATATTAGAAAGGACCTTTTTAGTGTCAGAGTGGTTGACAAATGGAATGCATTAGGAAGTAATGTGGTGGAGGCTGACTCCATACACAGTTTCAAGTGTAGATATGATAGGGCCCAATAGGCTCAGGAACCTGTACACCTGTTGATTGACGGTTGAGAGGCGGGACCAAAGAGCCAGAACTCAACCCCCGCAAACACAACTAAGCGAGTACAATTTTAGATTTAGGGAAAGACCTGGATAAATAATAGTTCGGTAACAATTGTTGACTCGTGGAATCAATTTCAGTGAAACATAATAGAAGTAGGATCCCTTGATTGTTTCAAGCGTAGGTTAGACATATATATATGAATGAGATTTGGTGGATATATAGGAGCTGCCTCGTATGGGCCAATAGACCTTCTGCAGTTACCTTCATTCTTATGTTCTTATGATATACCTTGATTCTTGAGGTTATCTTGAGATGATTTCGGGTCTTTAGTGTCCCCGCGGCCCGGTTCTCGACCAGGCCTCCACCCCTAGGAAGCAGCCCGTGACAGCTGACTAACACCCAGGTACCTATTTTACTGCTAGGTAACAGGGGCATAGGGTGAAAGAAACTATGCCCATTGTTTCTCGCCGGCGCCCGGGATCGAACCTAAGACCACAGGATCACAAATCCAGTGTGCTGTCCGCTGGGCCGACCGACTCCCCTCTCTGACCGTAAGATATAAGATATATCTTTTGGTCAGAGAGGGTCGACTAGGCACCGTCTCCAGCCCTCATGTGCTCTCAAAAGTATCAGAGTACCTGGTTGTAAATCATTAGTGGGTTGTGTTTTAGCGACCAAGTTGAGTACAAGGCTTCAGGTGGGCTGTGGCAGGAGGAACTCCCAGCTGGCAGACAAGAGTTACGCTCCTTTATCCTCAGTTAAGAAAACAAAAATATTCTTACCTGACAAGACAGTTCCGCTCCAGCCTTCTTTCAAACCAAAATTCTCAATATTATCTTATGAGAATGCCTGGAAATCATTTCATATGCGTGTTATAAGTCTGTTTACAATCACTAGTCACGATAGTACGATACACGCGTCGAAAGTCATAAAACAAAAATAGTTATGTCAGAAAGTTGAAGAGCAACTACAGCGAAGGTCTCCACCCCGCCGCGTCCAGCAGGTAACTAACGGTGTGAATGACTGAATGATCCGGTCGGCCCGGTCGTCTCCCTCGCTGACTGCCGTCCCTTGTTTTAGTGTTTACAATTCTACATAATTCTACATAATAATCAGAGTAACAGAAGAACGCACATACACACACACGCACAATTCGTTCTTAATTATTCTTGATCTTGCACATTCCTCACCACATTTGGAAATACAATATATTTATATTAATCCTCAAAGCTGGACCGCTCAACCGTGACGTCAGAGGCCATGTGCGCTTCGTGTTTTTGTAGAGTCAATACCCTAAGCCTATATGATACCGTCGATGTTTACATGAATTTATTTGAAGGGCCACTATCTATTGGCCTCGAAGCCGGCGGCTTGCCAAAGGACCTGATGATTTATTTTGTCGAGTTGGATTTTGAAATTAAAGGCGTTTTGGGATTTACGGCTTTGACAGGTAGGCTGTTCCATGGGTTTATAAACTGAATATGCCTCTCCTGTTTTTTGTCCTGCATTGTTATACATTGTGGGACATTGTATAACCTTACCTACATTGCTATAGAGTGCAATATATAAGTGTTACACTTTATGGGAAGAGAAAAGTTAATATACAATTTCCATTTGTCCTGTGATTTTAAGACGTGTTAGTATATTACTATTCTATATCATATTATAACTTGCAGTTACTAATATAATACAAAGTATTATACTTTGATTTGAATTGATGCCCCTATGAACTAGTGGTATATTGTTAATTGATGCCCCTATGAACTAGTGGTATATTGTTAATTGATGTACAATGTTGATTTTTGTTGTCCCGCGTTCAAATTCTCTTTAGTTGCTCTACTTGGTGACAAGATTAGAATAGGTTTACCCTTGTGTTCCCCTTTCATAAAACCTTTACTTACACAATAATTATCCAGTATTTTTTATTTGTTTTTATAATTTTTGTTATAACTTTAAGTCATTGAATTTATTCAGCACATTTCTGATCATTTAATCTTTAGATATCATTTACTATGATGGTTCGTAATGTTCATTCTTTCATAATTTTCAGTTCTTTATTTCAATTCTCACATTATAGAAATGCACTATTGTTTAATCCACATCCCCCCCCCTCTCCCAACCACTTGGGGTGGACGGTAGAGGGATGGTCTGGCTTCATGCAGGTCGGCGTTCAATCCCCGTTGTTGTTGTTTTAGATTCAGCTAATCGGAACAAAAGTTCCAAAAGAGCACAGGCTATGGTGAGCCCGTTGTGGATTTACCTGGCACGGGGGCGGGGCTGTAACTGTGTATATGTGGTTCAATCCCCCGACCGTCCAAGTGGTTGGGCACTAATCCTCCCCCTCCCCCCCCCCCGTCCCATCCCAAATCCATATTCTGATCCCTTCCCAGTGCTATATAGTCGTAATGGCTTGGCGCTTTCCCCCCCCCCTGATAATTCCCTCCCTCTCTCCCTTCCCCCTACACATTAAGCAATGGCTTATTACACACATAGCAACACTCATTTCTTATCTAATGTAGGACTTCACATCCTTCTTCAGAAAAAAGGATGCTGCAGTTCTCTCCAGCCACACGTCAAACGAGAATGGTGAGCCATCCAGTGGAAATCCCACAGATCATGAGCACCGAGATAATTATGTCCGTCAAGGATATATTTTGAGATAATTTCGGGGCTTAGCGTCCCCGCGGCCCGGTCCTCGACCAGGCCTCCTTTTTGTTTCACATCCCCAGGAAACAGCCCGTAGCAGCTGTCTAACTCCCAGGTACCTATTTATTGCTAGGTGAATAGGTACATCAGATTGAAAGAAACTCTGCCCATTTGTTTCCTCCTCCGCCAGGGATCGAACCCGGAACCTTAGGACTACGAATCCAGAGTGCTGTCAGGCCCCCTGGGGACATCTGATGCACATCCTGCAGGACACCATTCAATTGGTAGCCGCACTTCAGAGATAGGATCTCCTCAGCCCCAACGAAGACCCATGTCTCCTAATGAACAAATCCGTGACGAGGGTTCGAACCTACGTCCGAGAGCATCCCAGACGCTGCCTTAATCGACTGAGATACCTATGTCTCCTAAGCTCACCTTTGCTTGCTTGCTAGTTTGGCCCAATAGTAGCTGCCAGCCTACAAGAAAACCCTTAAAGCCTTATAGGAATGAACAGAGTCACTGTATAAAGACAGTTGATGTTGGAAGTGAACAAATCCACAAGGGCCGTGACGAAGATTTGAACCTACATCCGAGAGCATCCCAGACGCTGCCTTAATCGACTGAGCTACGACATGGTGAAAAAAAAAAAAAAAAAGAGTTGAAACCAGAAGTTCTACTGAACTTGGTGAATCCTCGTCACGGCCCTTGTGGATTTGTTCATTTGATGCATCACGCTATTGTGATTTCTGTGTGGGATGTTGGAAGTGTTTAGCTCATTATCCTCTTATGACTGCACGAAGGGAAGAAGTTTCCTTGTGGCACTTTTGCCATCTAAGCATATTTTCCTTCCCAAGGAAGGGAAACATTAGGAGAAAACGCTAACAATTACGACTATATAGCATTGGAAGGAGTCAGGATAAGGATTTGGGATGGGACGGAAGGAAGGAATGGTGCCAAACCACTTTAAAGGTCGGAGACTGAACGGCGACCTGCATAAAGTGAGACCATCGCTCTACCGTCCAGCCTAAGCATAGGGAATATTCAACTATTTTATTGTTTTAAAATGTTTTATAGACTCCTTGGGAAGGAGTCGCTAAACCATTTTTCAATCATAAAGTACTTCTAAATCCTAATTAACTGATGTTGATGTAATCATTTTTAAATTAGGGTAAGTTGTCCTCTTACGAGCCCCCAAAGTGTTTTTCAGGAGGGACAATCAGTGACTTCATACCAAATGGTATGAGGTACTTTGAGCTCTGTAATTACTTCATACACTCAGGAATATTGGAAGATATTCTTGTGCTGCACCCAGATTTTGCCAGTGGAGGCTAATAGATCAGCATTAAGTATTTTGTTCTCTTCTAATTCCATGTATGACTGGCCATCCTGTGAGGTGAGGATGTTGGGTGAGCTTGTAGCTGGTTTTTGATCTACACTGTGTGGTCCTTTATACAGAATAGGGAAGCAGCACATTGCTGTGTATACCTAAACATGTTTAAAAATACATTGTTTGAGAGGAGTTTTGTAGAAACTGGTAAGAGTAATTATAATATAATGTTTCCATGATTCAGTGCTTACCTCTTGTGAAAATTGCTTAGAGTTATTTAGTCAGAGTTGATTTGTTTTTGTATTGAGGCTGGTATTTTCTAAATTGATTCCATGTACAGTATGTCTAACCATCCTGTGAGATGGGAGTATTAGATAAACTTATAGCTAGTTTTTTATCTACACTGTGTAATATTCCATATAGAATAGGGTAGCAGCACATTGCTGTGTATACCTAATCTTAATAAAAAAAATCAGTAATAAAGATTTTAAATTATAGTTTGTATTATTACAAATACAGTACTGTATTATCCTTATTAAATCATGTTGACCATGGATCATTAAGATCTCATGTTGATATGTAATACAAGTCATATTTCTTTTGAACTGCTAATCCATGCTAATCATTCATTAAATTGTGCATTATGTCTTAATTTTTCACTTCCTTGGATATACTGTACAGTACAAAAAGATAGGATAAAAATAAACCAGTAATATTTCTTTCATTATATTTTTCATTTAAATAACTGCATCAACATTTTTACAGCTGACAGGATTTGTTTTCCCATACAGGTGCATTATTTGTTAAACAAAATTTGGTTTATTGTTACACACAATGGTGCTACATAGCCTTCCCAGCTTGGTGCCTTCTTTTAATACTTACTGATTAAAAAATAAATAATAAATACATTTTATTCAGGAAAAGTACATACAGTTGATTTACAAACATAATGTTGGATTTATAGGCAGAGCTAGTACATACAATACCTAAAGCCACTAATACTCATAGCATTTCGGGCAAGGTGTGGGGGGAAAAAAAACACAGACTAAAACTTAATAGCAATCGAGATTAGGTATAAATTGTGCTGAAAGAAGGAATAAAAAATACAAAAAGGGGGTTAACATAGCATAAATCAGCAATTGCACATGTTGGTGAACAGCGTTGTTTAAAAAATAGCAAGACATGGGTTGACATTTAGGAGGTAAGTTAGGTTACATGGAGTTAATTAGGCAGTACTTGGTTTAACTCTTAAACTGGTTGAGAGAGGTACAGCCTTTGACATGATTCGGGAGGTCATTCCACATTCTGGGTACCTTGATTTGTAGAGCACTTCTAGTTTGGTTACACACAGCCAAATTGAGTAACAGGAAGAGGTCTTGGACACAAATTTGTTCCATGCTAAATGTAGAGGAATCAGCTGAGTATTCCTCAAATAAAATAAGTTGCCTCAGCTTATAAGGTAAATAAAATAAGCATTTCTCAAATAAGTCGCTGCCTCACCTCACTGCCTTACTGTTACATAGCCTTCCCGGCATGGTGCCTTCTTTTGATAATTACTTGTTCCACACCCGAATTGTATAACAGGAAGAGGTCTTGGACCCCTACTTCCCTCTCTCTTTTTTAGTAGTCTATATAGTCATAATTATAGCTTTAAGTATTCAATGAATAAAGTTTTTGACATTTTTACCCTTTTCCTTACCTAACATCATTTGTGCAGCATATTTTTATTTTATGTCTCACCCAGATTTAATTTCAAAATAAAACTAAACTAAATAAATTAGAAATGGGTATGTATAGCTAAGGTACACCCTTACTACTAGGTGAACAGGGGCATTTGGTGATAGTAAATGATCCCATCAGGCAGGGCTCATCACCTTCTCTCATATTTCAAGGTCTTAACAAATCAATGTTTCAGTTGTATTAAAATGTATCATCCGTACTCTGCTGTCTTGAAAAATTCCAGAAAATTACTGCATATATATTTTTTTTTGTCTTTTTTGGAGCACAATGTGGACATAGCTTATTAGGGGACCATTCAGAGATCATCTCGCTTAACTATCATAGTTAGATAACTCTAGATCTAACTCTAGCTAACTCAAGATCATAATTGCTCTGCTTGTGAGAATTTTCCCTATGCTTTGTAAATTACCTGCCAGAAAAGCATGACGTTATATTTGTTTTCTTTATACAGTAACAGACTAACAATGTTTGCACATTTCCATATTATATTTTTATTACCTTGACAAATTAATGAGGAATGTCGAGAAATATATAAGGAATGTTAAAATGTTAATAAAAATGTATATATTCAGCAGTCATGCAAATTCTATTATCAAATCACATTTAATTTTGCATCCATACTCTAGCAAATTCATTTGCAAAAATTTTGACACCAAAATTATACATTTAGTAATAAGTCAAAATCTAATTGAGAAAACATCAAGAGACTATAATTATTTTAGGTGTCACTGAGCAGGACCCCGAGATGCCTGGACCATTTAGTCAGGAATGAGTTGAAGGATTGGAACATTAGTGTGTAAATAATCAATAATTGTATACTATCTTTTAAATAATGCTGGGACTGCCTATGATTGGTATAGAAACCTAAAGAAACTTACCTCACCTTGTGATTGCATAAACAGTGCATTCACAAGTTCTATACACGAATATTTTTTGGAGGGCTTAAACAATTTAGACACAAACATATGTTCTCTTCATTACAAAGCTGATAACTTGTTAGAGGATGCAGCCATTCTACAGAGGGTACCTCTGACAGTGCCCTATAAAATTTGTTCAACTATCTATGCCCAATACCACAATTTTCTAGTTGTCTGGGGAGGAGGGACGGAGTCGAGATGATAAAATATTTTGCCCCCCCTTCCCCTGGTCAATGGTTCTGATATTCATTTCTCCTGTACTATTACAAACTACTTTTTTTCTCATGTGGCTAGAGCTGTCGACACAGCAAATATTGGTATAATCACAACAGTTTCAAGTAATATAAATTATTAGTTTACTTTTAGGTTTTATAAGGCTAGCCCGTACTCCATAATTTTCTTGGATACACAGACATTTAAGTCAGTATAACTCCAAGAGACATCTTGTCTCGGGAAAGAGAATGGCCCTCCAGCTAGGCTGCAATAAACCTCTCATTTATGTTACTGTGTACAGAAACACTTGGCAGGACTGATGCAGGTCAAGATTTTAGTTTCACCCATTACCTTAGGCCAGAGAGCAGATTCGGAAGTCACCATCAACTGCCATTTGGATCACTGAAGCATTCAAGCCTCCCCCCCCCCCACTTGCCAAGGCAAGGCACCAGCTATGATGGGAGGCCAGGAAATAAGAGATCAACTGGGGTACTTAATAGTTCAGAATCAATCAAGGTTATAAAACATACTTTAATCGAAAAGATGTTTATTCAAGTCAGGGGAAAAAACTAAGTATCATTCATAATACATACTCGTGTGGAAGACTCGTGAAGATACACTTACTTTTTGCATTTCCGAACACTTTGGTACACTCCTAGGCAACCAAAATATATATATGCTCAAAATAAAGGATATTGGAATGTTTGGGACAGCTATGTTAAGCTCTTATTATGTAATGAAAATAAAAGTTTTGTCTTTTAAGTTCATCACAAGAGAAGAAAAATTCGGTTGTGTATGCTGCATATGAACAAATTCTGCTTAACTAGGAACACTCATCATGAAAGATCACATTAAGAGATAATACACCAATGATGCTCACTATTCAACCAATTTATTAATAACAAAGAAAACAAAATTACAGGTAACTTTCAACAGAGATGAATCAAAATATCATTAATGATATGGAAAGGATGTTAAAATTAACCACCATATTACCATACACTAATTACATAACGAGTCGGAATAAACATCAACGAGGTATGAAATCTTTCAGGTAGCATGTGATGCAGTGTTCTAGGCATTACTGGCCGTACCTTATTAATGAACGCTTGCAAAGGATTGCCTGACTTGCTGCACTTCTCTCTCCAAGTATCTCAAATACAAGATGGAATAAAAATTTTACCTGTAACTTACTGGCAAATTGTGGTAAAATTAATTGGTCTAAAGTCTTTCTCTTACTTAAATAATTTTATAATTGGATTGTCTGACTGAATTTATCTGAGTGCCAAATACCGTTTCAATAGAAGGTGAAGGGATGATGACGTTTCAGTCTGTCCTGGACCATTCTCAAGTCGATTGCGAGAATGGCTTGGACACATAATCGACTTGAGAATGGTCCAGGACAGACCGAAACGCCGTCGTCCCTTCACCTTCTAGTGTGTGGTCTGGTCATCATACTTCAGCCACGTTATTGTGACTCATCGCCTGCACAGTTTCAATAGCTTACTGAAAAAACAATGCTACTGAAACCACTTACTGTATATTTAACTGTATATTAACGGGAAAAACAATATTCCTAAACTTTCTCTAGATTTCTCAACTTTGTAATACTGTCCATGATACTGTCCCACTGCTCAGTGGCCATACTATCCAAGAGTAACATTAATGTTGAATTAACATTACTCTTGGATATGGTGCCCGCTATGTTAATGTTTGTTCATTCAGGAAGACGTGCTTTAAAATTTGTACGTATATACTTGGTATTTGGCCAAATATACCTGTAGATACAAGGTATACTCATTATGCAAACTATCTATTTGCTAATAATATTTAACAAAAGCCATAACCACTTTTTCTATAAAAAATGCAACATTTAAAATGCTTTGGCTGGTAAATCAAAAGCCAATCTGAGAATTTATACAGATTAACCAAAGTGTATTTTTTAATCTCCGAGAGCTACCTTAGAAGCCACTTTCATATACAGCACAAGACACTTCCTCCATCTTAAAGATATGCAATGAAATAAATTGTAAAGCATTAGGAACACTGAAAGTTAATATTATTCAAATTAAGAAGGATATTTTGAAGAGGTAAATCTTTATGTATATATATATATATCTGCAACCAGTTGAAAATTTACATCTGCTGCCCACAGGAAAATGATGATGTACAATGATGAATTCAGTGACAGTTTTCAGAGACATCTTAGGCAAGTGATACTCTCTGATGTCTTATCTCGGCAACAAAGACGACTCAAGATATGGGAGATTATTTACAATTTATACCGTTATCATTACTAGTTTATAAATGGGAAATATGGTGAAATTGGGCTTATGTAGAATGTACCAATTGCCAAATTTGCCTCCGAAAAAAAGAGACCTAAAGAAGAAAATGATCTATGTGCAAAGCGACTAGGAGCCTTATCAATTATGCTTCTATCATAATATTTAAATGCAATGACAGAAAACAAATGATGATGACTGGAAAGATTTGTGACAGATAATCAAGAGGAACACTGGTCAAATTCTGTACTAAGAGTCCTAGCACAAAGGACAGAGATGGGATAAAATACAAAACGAAAATAAGAAAATAGATGCAATGGACACCACATAACGAAAATACAGCTTACCTGATCTTAAATGTTATAATATCCACGTATGGTTAAAAAGAGCACATAATACTTTCAATAATTTAGAGCAATACATAAAAAGATGCTCAAAAGTGTCATAATTCACCAAAAAAATGTAACCGAGTATGCGTAATACAAACATTCAAGTCTGATATTGTAACACTAAACACTCAGAAATGCTCAGAAATGTGGTAATTACTGTGGCTTTTGAGCAAGTGGTGTGAAATTTGTTACAGGGCAAGAGTCAATTGCTTCAGATATATAATAGTCAAACCACTAGGTAGAATTGTTGGCCAAACATTTTTGAGAGTTCTTTTAAAAGATTTGACATTTATAAGGCATTGGAAATGTTTGGGCAAGATGATATATATATGTGGCTGCCCCTTCATAGATGGAGGAGATGGGGGGATGGATGGGACCCAGAAAAAACAAGGTATCAATAAACATGTAAATGGACTTTTACCTCCCCAGATTATTAAACATTTTAAAGTTCTTGCTAACACAATACTTTATGTTTTGTTTTGGAAGGCATCAAAGTAACTTACTTTATATTACAGAAATGCAAAATGTCATACATCTTACCAAAAGGCTGTAGAATATACAAATATTGAAGTTTCCATGTACACAAATAACAAGGCACCTGTAATGTCAACCATTCCACATCAAATAATATCTACTGGTGGTCTGACATCTAGTTTTGACATAGTGGTATGACAGCTAACCTGCAGTATTATCTTAGCCTTGGAAGCCTCTTTTTAATAATAAATAATTGTTCAAGCTGCATTGAAACAAAAACCAAGTTGCATTATCCCAAAGAATTTATAAAACATCAACCATGCCAAATAAACCCAAATTATTTATTAGTTTTTACAATGAGTTAACTTTAAATAACAGCTGCCATATTCCATAGTCATTACAGATGTACATAACGTTTAATTCTATTAATAACGCTAGCAATTAATATTTCAAGTAACGATAAGATAGCTTACTCAAATGTACACTTAAGTATGACTCGCATTGTCATTCATAGACATGCTCACAGGGAAAGGTGGGATGTACCAAGTTCTCTCCCAATATGTTAGTGGCTGGCCATCTCCACAAGTCACTTCAACATATATACATCAGCACTGCTCACAACACTTGCTTAAGACATCTGCATGTTAAACTGGTTATATTAGAATTACAGCCAGCCCCATTTACTTGCAGTGAATTAATGAGTATAGAGAATGAGGGTCGCCTCGCATAAAAATGGAATAACCCTAAAAATAGATTAAAGTTAAAAAAAAAAATAAAAAAAATAAGCATAGTTTGAGTTAAGGCTCTTATCATTCTTATTCACAACTCAAATGTACATAATATATATACCGGTATATATATGTATTTATATATAAATATAAAAGTACAACTTCAGCAGACAGCACTGTTCCATTCTTTCATATGTTTTAGCAATGAAAGCTGCCAAGAGCCCTACACACACACTGAAACGTGTAAGGACAATATGTTCTCCACCGCCCTTCCTTTGGATGTTACGTAAATACTCTTTATTCCAGGTAATAGGCAATATCAAATTAGAAAAAAACTTTATCCATTTAATTCAAAACTTAACAAACAAAATTTCTTGGTAATACAAAAATATTGCTGATTTATATTACTGGCAATCTTACATAGCTGACACCCCCAGACTTCAATATATGAAGGATTTTCAGCACCAATATTCACAAAAAATTATTTTTCATTACGAGGAACCTGGTATCGAACTGCAGACTACATAATTTGTGCACTAATTACTTTAAGTATACAAGTTTTGTACTCATTGTAGTTAATTTAATATTCACATTTTTGCCAGAAAAACAAACATACAAATAAGTTTAATAAGACATTCAGTATGAATGTTTTATTATTATGAATATTAATATTATCATGAGTGAGTTGTTACTACAGTACTTGAAAATGTTTGTCAGTCACATTGTTTTAAAAATATACATTCACTCAAACTGACAATTTGTTTGGTATAGCACTGGTATTGTACTAATGGTACATTTGGCATTACATTATCTATTAACACAGCACTAAGATAACCTTATGGCTGGCATCCTTGAGTTTCACCAGTTTATGCAGGATACACCAAGTGAGTAAGTAGGCAGTTTTATACCCAAGTCCTTTATCCAGGTCTCCATTGTGCCCTTATTCCACTGAGAAAGTCAGGAGTGCAGTCCTCAGTGTGCCTGGGGAAAAAAGTACTGAAATGAGCATACATAGCACCACAAGTCCACCATCAATAACAGCAACAAGGCCAGAAGCCAGGCTGCTCCATGTGTGGTAGTTAGAATATTTGTCTATCATAAGTTATCAGGGGGAAATTATATTCTCCAGAACATCAAGCTTCAGTTGCCATTACATCAACTTCAAGCATGGATGCTTAAACATTAACCTCCCACGATGAATCATACGTGTTTGAGGGGGCGTCTGCGGGAAGTGGGAGTGGCCATGGGCTGAGCAAAGCCCCCAGTGGGAGGGGTCCCTGAGAGAGACAAATCCTGAAAGAGAAGAGAAGCAATGTTAGTACATGCATGCCAGATGCTGCGTGTTAGCAATGCCGATGCCAAGTTACAGTACCAGGCGTTTATTGGTTACATGCAATAGTTTATTGATGACCAGACCACACACTAAAAGGTGAAAAGACGACGACCTTTCGGTCCGTCCTGGACCATTCTCAAGTCGATTGCTTGCTTAAAACCGACTTGAGAATGGTCCAGGACGGATCGAAACATCGTCGTCCCTTCACCTTCTAGTGTGTGGTCTGGTCAACATGCTTTAGCCACGTTATTGTGACTCATCACCTGCATGCAATAGTTTACTTTTAAAGCAATTTGAATTTGAATTAGTGGGGGGTTAGGTAGTATAACAAGAAAACAGTAGCAAGCCAGTTTTTCACTGAAAATTCATAACTGCTAAGTTTATTTACACAGTAAATCAACTCATACTACAAAGTTGCATTCTAACTTCCCCTGTGAAATTTTAGACGATTCTCAATGTTGAGAACTCTTGGAAAAACTAGTTCGGTTAGACTCTCCAGAGGCCAAGAGAGAAGCGTTTTAAGCAAGCAATTTAAATTTCATCCACAAACAGTACATGTTTATATATTAATATCACTTAATATTTATTATAAATAAAATAATAAATATATTTATTTTATCTACTATATACAGTACTGTAATTTTAACTTCATTTTCCCTTTTGGAATGCCTCATTCCTAACCCCTTGGGCTGTGCCCGTTTATACGAGACAACGCCCTGAAGTGCGAGGACAAAAAAAATTCTATTTTTTTCCTTCTAATATTGTTAAAATGCATTCCCAGATCATGGAAAAAAATCTCTACTTGACCTTGCACTGACCTCAAACTGTGCATTGTTTTCTAGGTTTCATTCTAGGAACCCATAATTATTTTTGTTTAAATTCATTCTTTTTATATTTGCACCTTTTAAATTCATTCTTTTTATAGCGGGGTGAATAAATGTTGACTCATATTCTGAAAATATAATTTTAAGTTAACTATTTGTAAACAGAATTTTCCATATTCACAAATATCATCCTTGCCCATGAAGGTTCTCAAAATTTTGCATGGCGTCACTGCTTCCAACCATAGGTGTCAGTAAATGGATGGTGATACAAACACCTGAAACATGTGTGCCAATGCAAATGATGAGCAATGCAGAGGTTCATCGACTTGAGAATGGTCCAGGATGGACCGAAACGTCATCGTCCCTTCACTTTCTAGTGTGTGGTCTGGTCAACATACTTCAGCCACGTTATTGTGACTCATCGCCTGCAGATGATGAGCCACAATAACGTGGCTGAAAAATGTTGACCAAACCACACACAAGAAATTGAAGACGACGATAACATTTCGATCCGCCCTGGACTATTATCAAGTTATTATTTATATGTGCCAATTTTTTTTACTAATGCCCAGGAAGATAGCCGAGGCTTTCAGGATTTTACCAATATGGCAAATGACTGCCAGCAATCTCTAGTGTAGAATAACAACCACATATAGTATTTAGGATCTTTGAATATTAAAAGGCTGATTAAATCATTCACAAACGACAAGGGCACCACAGGTCAACTGTTTGAGAATGACAACAGTAGTTTAAGGGTTGAGTGCTCCTGATGGAGCAGTGTCTTTGTTAAAAAAAATTCTGCATGCTGGTTTAGTTAATGTAAATGTGAAGCAGTTGAGGCATGCATGTAGTTGTGTGCCCAAAGCAAGTGATAATGTAAAGAAGAAAATATAAAGTAAAAGGATAAAAAAGAAACAGAATCAGAAAGATCCAGCATTGAATGTAATGAAACGCCTCTGTCTGGTAGAGCCCCGGTGGCTCCCTGAAGATATTGTGCCGATATTGCTCCATACTAAGAAATCACATCAGTCATTATATAGGTTAACAAATTCACATGGGCATTGATGAGGATTTGGACCTATGCGCTGGATGTTTCCAGACATGGTCTAGTCAACTGTACCACGACACGGCATAGTGAAATCACTAAGGGGAGAAATCAATGTGTAGGGAATGATCTATCATGGTATAGGGAAAATATGCCTGTATCAGTTGTTATGATCTCAGCCTGCAGGAGAAACGAGTCTCCCCCTTGAGAGTTATTCAGCAAGCCTGACCTAACCGGAAGGTCTAGGAAGTATAGAGGCGATAACACAGATGTAAAATAGTTTGTTGGATTCAAATAACAATTTAAGATTATGGGCAGTAAATAAGGAAACAGATAAATGACTGGTTAGGAGATGTGGATATTTTGCTGGAGGCGTGAGGCTCGCTTCTGGAGGGCTTTGACTTCACTTGAGGCCAGACATCGCAGGGGGAAAGCCGCGCTCCGTTGAGCTCCCGTCAGAAGGGAACCCCTAGTGATATATCTCGAAGAGAAGAGAAGTGTGCAGACGTGCCAGCTGTGGAATCGAGCCGAGAACATTGTGGTCTCAAGTCCTGGGCGACGAGGAGTGTTTATTAAACCGCCCAGAGACATTATCGTGGGCCGTGGCAGCGCCCTGACCAGGCTTCGTCAGAGGGAGGAGCGCCCTCGACCAGATAATCTGTGGTAAGCACGATATACGCCAGTTCATAGTGATTGCTTGTAGTTGGTCGTGTGTGCGCCCAGCGACAGTAGCAATGTTTATTGATAAGTTAGACATGTTTTGGTGAGGCAGAAAGCCTGAAATAAGAGTGGAGAGGGAGGAACACGGAGCGACATCTGTCTCCTCTGAGCGCTGGCAGGCAACTGAGGGAGCCCGGCTCCTGACGGCGGAGGACCCTCCCAGTGTGATGCCCGCCAGGCAAGGTGGAGCATGGACCTGCCCAACGGGGAAGTCCACTCTCACAGTATGTAGAGGACAGATAGAGGTTTAAGGCAAACATTGTGTGATTATTTTTGTTTATGTGTTAAAGGGGAAACATTTTCATTGGAGTGTCGATGGGTTGCAGGTTTGTCTTTGGGGAAGAAGTTGCTGAGAACTTCGAAGCCAGCACAGATGAAGTAATTGATGAGACTCTAGTGGAGGAGAAGCAGTGAAGAGGAGTGTCACGTGCTTCTGTAGAGGTGGTGAAGCACCATAGTTGCTCGAGGGAACTTCATGGTGTAGCAGCCAAGAGAGCTGTGGAGGAACCTAGCAGAAGTGGTGAAGCATCGTAGTTGCTCAAGGAAACTTCATGGTAGCAGCCTGGAGGAGCTGCAGAGGATCCTGGTAGTTAAGCCCAGAAGAACCTGAAGAGATCAGGGTAGTGAACTTCCAGAGGTGGAAGGGAAGTTCTGGTGGATTACTTGTAGGGAAGTGATAGTGTTTGTTTGTCACTAGCGTGCAAGACGCAATGAGAGGCGAGTGATTGTTTGCATTCTTATGTCAAGGAGTGTTTTATATTGAAGTTTAGAGTTACAGTCGTAGGCTGGATTACCTACAAATGTATGTGTTCTAGAACTGATAGGGTGATCGATTGATCATTGTTGTGTATCAAGGAACATTTATACTGATATATGTTAGTGCATTCACCTGCTGATTTTCCTTGTACACGTTTATAGATATATATATATATTCTCTTGCTGATAGTGCAACAGTGTATGTAGACTTGATCTACTTGAGGAGGTTGATAGTATCAGGTGGTGAATCAGAAGATAGGATACCACTTGGTAAACTGATAATAGAGTTCTGATGGTGTTGGAGAGCAACCTGGTTGTAATAGTATAGAGTATAGGATTCATTATTATTATATGTGTGTATGTATTGTGTATGTGCTTTGTCCAGTAAATTTATTCCAATTTGCTGGTGTTTGCCCTTGTCCTAGTGAGGCTTCCCAGGAAATAGTAAAGAAAGAGAAAGTACCAAGAACCACTGCTGTGGACAGGGTAGAAGGTAATACTAATAAGTCAAAAGGGGATTGAGGAGATCATATCACCTAAGGAGAGAGTGGGGAGTCACAACGGCTCGAGTGGGTGTGTGCACGTGACAACGAGGCTAAGTATTGGAGCCGCATCCCCTAAACGTGTGACGTTGAGCCCCTCTCCAAGAGCCAGAAGCGCCCAGGGTGATCTCCTGGTAAAGTATAAACACTCCACCGAGTTGTGGGTTGGGTTGTCTGTAGAGAAGGATCACAACGACAACACGACACCAACCAACACAACTATAATACAGTACTGTATAAGGAAATATCCCTTTCCCTAGCATGGTATAGGAAAATCACTAAGCAATTACTAAGGGACACCTCCAGAAACATACCGACTCATTCTTTGCCAGAGAGGATGAACATGGCTGCAAATGAACAAAATGCATACACAGGCCAAAGAAACATAACCCCTTGCTACGGAGAAGAGCCGAAGGGAAAACTGCAAGCCGAAGCGGGGAGCAAAACCTCAACACCCATCAAAACACCAGGATGGCTCACGAGCAGCATGAGCAGGCCAGAAGTGAAGAACTCTGGCGATAACTTGCAAAACAAAACCGATGACGTATCGATGTCAAAAGCATCTTCTTATCTTGAGATGATTTCAGGGCCTAGCGTCCCCGCAGCCGGTCCTCAACCAGGCCTTCCTTTTTTTCCAGGCACTCCCAGGTACCTATTTACTGCTAGGTGAACAGGAGCATCAGGGTGAAAGAAACTCTGCCCATTTTGTTTCCGCTTCCACCGGGGATCGAACTCGGAATCGTAGGACTACGAACCCGGAGCGCTGTCCACCCAATTGTCAGGGCCCCTGGCAAGGCAAGTCAAGCAAGAGTAGAGCTGTCAATGGTGAACAATAAGAGGTGACAGCATTAGGCACAAGTTGCTGATAGCCACATAGGCGGGAAGAGGCTGGTTCCATGCTGACGCAAAGAAGTCCTCTTCGAGGCAACCAAGCATTTCGCAGAATCAATGGAAGGACACGTTGTTAACGGTCCACTTTGTGGAAGGCAAGGTAAGGTAATTATCAAAGGAAGGCACCAACCACTTTGTGGAAATTGGACAAAAATAAGATAAATCATTCCAGAGAAAATTGGGCATCCCCCTCCCCCACACATGAACTGCATGCAGAACCAAACCCCAAAAATTCAGAAGCAGAGTTACCCAAAGCATCCAGCCCCACAGGGCAATACACCAAAGCAGTCTCCCCATGGTTCAGGACATGAAATACCAGGTAGCAGTTGGAGTAGAGTTGGAGCACAGAGCCCAATGCTACACAGCTGCAAACACACACACGATAATGTGTGCCTAAAGGAACGGACCCGACCACCGATCCAGGAAGGCCTTCTATTACTCCCATACGAGTATAAAAACTGACTGCAGAAGTAGAGTATAATAGTTTCAACTCAAAGAACTAAAAATTAGGGAATGTCCAGACCAGTCAATTGCCTGGGTTCTTAATACATTACCACCACCATCCAGAAAAATACATTTGTATGTTAAAATCATCAATATTATTTTCTATGTACAGTACTAATTACAGCACTTACAGCAAGATTATTAACACTTGTTGCTCCTCTCATAGATGAATGTTGTGGCAGTGTACCAAAAGGACTCATTACTGTGGAGACTGCTCTTTTTAATTTGCTAGGCGACTTATTGAAGCTGAAAGCTCTGCTTACTTTCCTTCCTGTCCGTGTTGCGAATCTGAAACATAATATGTGATTAATGTTTATGCAATATGCATCATAATGAAACTATTAATAAGTTGAACCTTAAATAAATACAGTATACTTTATATTTATAAACACATTTTCACAAACACAACACACAGGCAGCCAGTTGAAATTACCTAGTATACAAACTCTAGCTTGTACTTGTATTGTTATTAATCTAAATGTTTTCTCTTAGTTAAAATAGCAGTTTGTTTTATTGTTGTTAACTTTCATGTATCACTTGATAGTGTTTCTAAGTATGTTTAATTTTTTTTAGAATTAGTATGTTAAATTTTGTATTAGGCGAGTATGTTGCTAGAATTAGAATTAGTAGGTTGAATTTTGCATTAGGTGAGTACTGATGAGCTATGGGTTTGCTGCTGTTCTTTTAGCAGCAAAGTTACTTCTTGCTGTTACTTCCCTCCTGAGATATGAACTGTACTGCTTCATATCGTAAGATATAAACTTACCACTGCTTCCTTGCATTTCTGTGTTAGCACACTGTTGGTGTTATGGCACATCATACAAGTTATAAATGATGACTGAATCAACACATATAACAATATGATGTTACACTTGCAGACAGAGTTGCAACAAGTGATGGCATGGATACATTGCGTGCACAGCATGCAGGTACATTGAGAGTAACATGTAAATGCAATGAGTTCATTAGAACTATATTCAACACAAACATTAATTACCTGAGAGCTTTACTTAGTGCGTTGGTAAGGCTAACATCGCTAGTCTCGATATCAAGATGGTGTGGATCCATAGACACCAGGAAATTTTCCTGAAATGAATTAGTAATAAAGAAACCATTATTTATGCAAAGCTCTGCATCATTATCATAACATTTTCAACTTCATGATCAAAAGGAAGACACTACCCAAGAATAGATGAAAAATACAGAACTGTTTGAAGCAAGGATTACAGAAAAACTGTTATTGTTTTATTTAGGTAGAACTGCTTAAGTTCAACTTAAATAAAAAATAAGACCTAATAAAGGGTTATGTGGTAGCAGTAATAGTATGTAAAAGTAATCCAATAATTCACACAGTCCAATTAAGCACATCATAATGACCAAACTTACCACAGGAATGGACTAGATGAAGTCCTTGAGGAAAATTCATTAGTTTTAAATATAAATACAGTAAGAAATAAATGAGAAAGCAAGTCTTTGCTTTGAACTACTTTTGGCTGAAAAAATTGTACACAAACACACACACACACACAAAAAGACAAATACACTAGTCCAGGTACTTACCACGTCATTTCTACAAGCGATATTTGCAACTGTTCGACATAACGTCTTAAGAAAACTTGACTTGGGAGTATCCTCTTGTAATAGGGTAAACGTGAAGAGACGCTCCTTTAGTTCCTGATTACTTCGGATAACTAAGGCAAATACATTATGACAATCTGTTGGAATAAAAGTAAATAATAACATTTACCCCTTTTCACCGATTAATGGAGCTCTCTAACACATCTTAAATTCTCGCCTCAAAATATTGCATCAGTTCACAGAACAAAATAAAAACAAGTGAAGACACTAACACACCAAACACTACTGGGAAGTCAGAAAAGCCTTGTCCCCACAACAGCAACTATTAGAGCACCCAAAAGCCAGGGGCCAGATTCACGAAGCAGTTACGCAAGCACTTACGAACCAGTATGTCTTTTCTCAATCTTTGGCAGCTTTGTTTACAATTATTAAACAGTTAATAAGCTCCAAAGCATCAGGAGGCTGTTTATAACAATAACAACAGTTGATTGGGAAGTTTTCATGCTTATAAACTGTTAAATAAATGTAACCAAAGCCCTCAAAGATTGAGGAAAGATGTACACATTCGTTAGTACTGGCTTCGTGAATCTGGCCCCAGATGTCCATTCGCTACAACAGGGGATGCAGGAATGACTAACAAAGTATACTTTATCCCTCAACTCTACCCAAAATTTAACAGGTCCCCCTGCGGACTAGGGACATGTTACCCATTTCTATTGGTTGGAAAGATGAAGCTGAAGAATATAATAGGGAACATGCTTTCCCAAGTAGATCCAGAAAATCAGGAAAGGAGAAAAGGGCAAGGGAAAGGAAGCGAAAAGTGTCTTCCCCCGTTACAGCTAAACGAGGCTTTTAGGGAAACACAAATGACAGAGACAGACAACCAAAAGAACTATGTATATAATTGAACCCCCTCCCTAAAACCTGTAACACACAGAAGACTCAGGGAAGACTAATAAGCCACAAGGAGAGTAGTTGAAAATATTTGTTTAGAGCTAACCCTTATGACACTCCCATGCAACCACACCAACAATGAAGCCCAATCGGGCGAGGTGTAACTACTGCGATGACCTCAAGGGTAACATGTAAAGTGTATACAGATGGAGACTGATATTCCAGGGACAGAGATACTGACCCTTCAATACTCACTTAGCCATACCAAAAACTGCCTAGCAGATTCAGTGGATTCTCACTTGCCTCTATTTCCCATAAAAAAAAGTGAGGAATAGAGCCCCCCCTCCCCCAAGATCTGCAGCTCCCAGGTAGACTTTTAATATGAAGAAAAATGGGAGTTAATGGATTGTCATGCACAGAAAATATGTAGGTGGCATGAAGTCAAGGGTTATCAAAGCATTCAGTACCCGCAACCCAGTCCTCTGTACATCAAGGTCGTGCCTACAAGGCTAATCCATTACGGTGTTACTAATGTGTATGAAATGTATATAAAAATCAATTAAAAGTAGAGCCCAGAAGGAGAGGGGGTCAAAATCATAAATGATCCTCAATCTTGGATACTCAATACCGTAATAAATGGTATATATCACACTGCTAACCTTCAGTTTCTCGGATGTCAACAATTCTCTTGATGTGTGCCAAGTTCATCATTTCAAGATGCTTGTAGGTTTTGATGGTTTTAAAGGAATGCAGGTTGGCTCTACTAGGACTTTTAATGCTGTTGTATTTACTTTTCTTCTTACATATCTGAAAATACAATTTGATTACTTAAAATTATTAAACAGTAAATTTTCACATCAGATGCAAGGGAAATATGCAGCAGGAAAAATTGGCTTACTTATCAGTAAATAGCTAACTCTAATTTACACCTCATTTTACTATCTAACTGATCTAATTTACTATCTAATTTACTACTTTTATTTACTAAAAGGGCCTTATTTTGTAGAAAAAAAGACCCAGCATAGGCAAAGCTGACCATTAAATAGTGACTGTACAGGATTACAGATCAATTTTGTTGCTGCCTAGGATAAGAATTGCTTTATCAGTATGTATTAAACAGAACTTTTCAAATGTCTTCACAAGATCATGGAAGATGCTAGGCAGGCTCTGAAGAAAAGTCAAGAATGTCTATGAGAGGCACAGTCATGTGACACAAAAATCACATTTTGGGATCATAGGAGATTAAGATTTCATAATTACTCATTCAGTAATTATGGGGGCCCGACAGTTGAGTAGACAGCTCTTCGGATTCGTAGTCCTGAGGTTCCGGGTTTGATTCCCGGTGGAGGTGAAAACAAATGGGCAGAGTTTTTCACCCTGATGCCTCTGTTATCTAGCAGTAAATAGGTACCTGGGAGTTAGATAGCTGCTATGGGCTGCTTCCCGAGGGTGTGTAACAAAAAGGAGGCCTGGTTAAGGACCGGGCCACAGGGACACTAAGCCTCGAAATCATCTCACAATAACTTTAAGATAACCTTCACCTGCAATTGCCATCCACCACCATGTGGAAGCCTCCAGACTCAAGGCATCAAGAAAAACCTCATATTAGTCCCCATCCAGACGCTGTGTGGTAAATACAAAATCATTATAGCACGGAAGATGCCACACAAGCAACCACTAGTTCCATATGGCCAAGTGACGGTCACCTGGGTAAAGCCAAATGTGCTGAATCAGTAATCAAACGAGTTTGGGGTCCATCTACATATTAGTCAAATGGACGAAGCAGGAAGAGGCATTGCTAACATGTTGGACACCCTGCAAATTGAACCACTGAGAAGACATACCATACAATGCCAGATAAGTGGCAACTGAAAAGACTACTTGAGGAGGGAAAATGCAGTGAAACCCCCATATATCTTCCTGGGGCAAGCCAAGAATGACTTGACATGTTTCAGTGTAGCTTGAAAGCACCTTCTCTCAGGAAAGCAAGGTGCAACAAGCTAAAATTAATGCCACCTGCTCCCAAATAAGGAAAAGCACCTGCAGCAAAGCCAGATTCAGATCAACTGAATCCCCAAAATAAAACTCTGAATGTCAGCAGTGAACAGCCTCTGCAAACCAATGAGGAATGTGCAGAGATGCCTGGTCATTGTCCAAAATTGTGAGAGTACTCGAGTACAATCTGCTGCATGAGTCTCCACATGCTTTGTTAATTGGTCCTTTCAGAGAAATATAGCAAATATTGTGAACCATTTGTTATCACTCAATTATATACTGGCAGCCATACACTTAGAGCATAACCACAAAAATTGACTGCAGTAGAGTATATGCCAACCATGACAAAAATTAACAAATAGGATTGATTGATTGTTTTGAAGATATTGTATCTCCATATGTGTTCCATCTTTTGAACAGTGTGTATACAACTCTTGCAAGCAAATGCTTTAACTAATTTTGTCCCAATGGAGTATACCATTCAATTCTTTAAAGTGGGAATTTATGTTTTTGAATGATTTTTTTAGCTCTCCACAAGCTATTCTTCTCCTGTCCCCACTTTTCCCCTCATTGAGGAAGGGAGAGATGTTTGGACCCACTTCCTGACACCTGATGTGTAAGATGTCTAGTAGTAAATAGGCACATGGAAGTTAGCCTACTGTTGTGGGTTGCATCCTAGCAACATGAAATTATTCACGAGGAAGTAAAGTTACAGACATCATTTCTTATTGTTCTTTTTGTATGTAATTGGAACTAGGAGGCATAAAGATGTCTAGAGAATCATGTTAAGCTGCTATGGAAGCATCTGAAATTCAGATATGAATATCTAAACACATGATATAAATAACTCGATTGTTTGGCAGTGTGACACTTGCTTGTCTGTCATCAGTGACGTTGCAGGGAGACTGCACACACTACCATCTGCATTTTTCCATGCAGCTCTGCTGGCTCATATAGAATACAAAAATTATGAAGTTAAAATATTGCTTATGTTAAAAGAAAATTAAAATAATATTAATATTGCTGTGGGGTCTTCAAGTGATGGCTTAACTTCATGATGCAACATAGAAGCAGAAATTAAGCATTTTCACACAATTATTACCCAAAGTTGCTTAAATTGAGGCACTTTATACCTGTGTATCTATGGTAGTTGTTAACATTCACAATTTTGTAGTCATAAATAATAAAAATGTACAAAAATGATAAAATTATGGAATCGCAGTTAATGCCCAATACAATGAAACCAATGCAAGCTATAATTATATGTTTACAACTAATTATTTTAGTTATTTAAGTCACCCCTCACTCACCTCCAGGACATCATTGAATAGAAAGAGAGTGAGTGTGTCGCCACGGCCACTACAACAGTCGCTCAGCTCGGTCACATCCACTTTACTCATATACATACGATGAGACGCTACCAGGTTTGGCTGCAAAGAGAATGCAAGTGTATATTCTCTTATATACAAGCACATGCCTTAAAGACCTATTTACATCTTCACTTAATGTCTGAATTAAAATTTTTACAACAACATAAGTTTCATCTTTATCTGCTGCAGTTACTGTACATGCAAAAAAATCTCCAGTAAAAGAAATTATCAATACTGCAGAGTCCCAAGTAGTCTTCTGACCTTTTTAATTTTATTTGAACCATAGTTTAAATGGACCTCTGAACTTACTGGGCACATTTCTATGTCGTTGTGTATTTCAAAGAGTTTCAATTTAGCTTCAGTCTTCCGCTTATCATCATTGATGAAGGTCATCACAGATTTGATCTTGTCTAGAGCTTGCTCTAAAGCCGCATGGTCTGCAGTGCTTTTCTCAGTGTGCTTCAAAATATCTGCCAAACAAAAGAAGATGCAAATTATAATTTACCTTTGGTACATTCAAATTAATGGATACAAACACAAACAGGATTGTGCGATGAGCACATGAGGGCACAATGAGAGTAATGAGTAGATGGCAGAAAAGTGTTTTCAAGGAGTGCAATGAGATTGTGGGGTATGATGGCTTCAAGTAGTTTAATGGGGTATGACGTTACAATGACTTACCAAGAGCATACCTGGAGAGGGGTTTTGGGAGTTTTACTACTTCCCTAGCCTGGCCAGGAGCTAGGCTAGACTTGCTCCTTACTTTAAGGAGTATAACGAACACAGGCCGGTGTAGCGAACACAGGCCGGTGTAGCGAACACAGGCCGGTGTAGCGAACACAGGCCGGTGTAGCGAACACAGGCCGGTGTAGCGAACACAGGCCGGTGTAACGAACACAGGCCGGTGTAACGAACACAGGCCGGTGTAACGAACACAGGCCGGTGTAATGAACACAGGCCGGTGTAACGAACACAGGCCGGTGTAACGAACACAGGCCGGTGTAACGAACACAGGCCGGTGTAACGAACACAGGCCGGTGTAACGAACACGGTGTAACGAACACAGGCCGGTGTAACGAACACAGGCCGGTGTAACGAACACAGGCCGGTGTAACGAACACAGGCCGGTGTAACGAACACAGGCCGGTGTAACGAACACAGGCCGGTGTAACGAACACAGGCCAGTGTAACGAACACAGGCCGGTGTAACGAACACAGGCCGGTGTAACGAACACAGGCCGGTGTAACGAACACAGGCCGGTGTAACAAGCACAGACCAGTGTAACGAACAGACGTACATGAAACATACACCATTTGCCGATAAAGACATAAAAAGGTCAAGCATCACCTCAACACACGTAACCAAACCTGTCACAAAATATTGCTAAAAGTACACAATCACATTAATAATGACTTGTCATTGTTCACCTAAATACTGTACAATAACATGAATATTTAAGCTTACCATTAATAAGTAAACTCATAGAAGGTAATCTCTGAACTGGTCGGATCATAAGTTCTTGTAAGCTCTGTCGACCGCACTCTGGCTTGTTTTGGGCAATTTTGAGAAATGCATGAAATCTTGGTCGTTCCGTTGAAATTTTCTGCAACATCTCTTTCATATTTTCAAAGAAGTTAATGAAAGGTGGATAAGCTTTCTCTAAGTCTGTGGACTGAAATAAAGAACACAAAATAAGAAATCAGTTTATCATGTTGTATTTACATCAGACACCTCATTATTATTATTATTATTAATTTTATACACGATCATAAATTTAGAACCTACTTGAAATGCTACTATAAGAGTATTCCACAATTTTCACAGAGTCCCCCTTTAACATCAGGCTAGCTCTACCACATCATACCTTGTTTACCTGATGCCATGAGAGATCGTTTTGATAAAACACATTTAGCAAAATGTACAATTTTCCATGTACAAATTATATCTAACATGTTTTCAGCATTACAGATTCTTAGTTATCCTTTAATCATAAAATTAATAATGAAGCAAATATTAATCTATTAAAAACATAGTGAGTATCAAGACAATTTTCCTTAATTAGGTTAACAGGAATATGAAAGGTTCAACAGGAAGTGCAGTCATGAGATTAAACAGCAGCATGCTTTATGGGATTGAGACCAGTGAAGGAAAACAACAATGAACAGATGGCAAAATATGAAACCCAACTTCAGCATTCCGTGCTGAATCAGTCACAAACGTTTGCTTTCCCGTTTCTTTTTCCTGAAGAAGTTGGTTAAACATCAGATCTATTTGAACCAAACACAGTAGAAAACAAAAGTTTTCTTCAGACATGGCCAATAAGATCACAGTCATTTAATCACTGTTGATACCTACACAGTTCAGTACAGATATCAACAGCAATGTTAGTGGGTTTTCTCCAGATAATCCCACAATCCACCTGAATGTTGCTTCTCTATAATGTATATACAAAAAGCATGTCTCCCTCTTTCTTTGCCACAGTTAATGCTTTATTTAGTTCAGCTTTAGCCTTGACAAGAACACAGCCCATCAAGAAGTCAAATATCTTTAATGCAGGTGGTGAGTCACAATAACATGGCTAAAGTATGTTGACCAGACCACACACTAGAAGGTGAAGGGACGACGACGTTTTGGTCCGTCCTAGACCATTTTCAAGTCGATTGAGAACGACGACGAAGGGATGACGACGAAACGTCGTCGTCCCTTCACCTTCTAGTGTGTGGTCTGGTCAACAAATATCTCTAATATTTGAGTCTTCCTAACCCACACCAAGCCATGAATTACATAATCTAAATTTTGGAGATTCCACTGCATAAATCTTTATGGACACTGAACAAATGTCTTTCAAATTTTGGCCTTTGATTGCAAATTATGCTTCATATACAGGAGTTTATGTATTTTATGTGCAAAACTTACATATTTAAGTATAATTTCTCCAATGCTTGCATCATCAGTCCAATTGTGAGCAAGGTGTAGAAGATCATTACGCATTCTTGTGTGAACCTCGTGAATTGGTGGCAAGTTACCAAATATATATCTGAGTTCCTGCGCATCTAACATGGGTCCCCCAGGCTGTAAGGTGTTCTCAAGTGGAACCTTAATGACCTGCAATCAAAATAAATTAAAAAGACAAGTGGCAAAATGAATCCTAACATAAACCCCACCGTTATAAGGGCTTACGAGTTGTCGTGAGGCTGGATAAACATTTACTGTATGCAATACTGTATTACAAAGCTAGGAGTGTTTTCATGGCTTATGGAGACAGTGACAAAAATGCATATAATCAAGAGCAAGTATGAATTTGGCATTCCACATCTGAACTTACCTTTTCTACTGCATCTAGAATACTAACATAATTGCATTCGGTTTTAACTAACTCATGGAATACACGCTGTCTTGCAGAAAGCTGCCGAAGATCAACAGGTGGAGGACTAAGTGGAGTCTGGTCAACACTGCAGGGAATAATACTTGTAAACAAACATTTATAAAAACATCAATATACATATAACTGAAAAAACTTTTAAAATTCAATAAATTTCTAAAAATTAATCGTATATATATATTTTTTTCAGGTCTAATTATAAATACTGTAGTAAGAGGAGTGAAAAAATATAAATCTTAAACTTATTTAAAATTCCAAATGTTTAAGTAGGTGTCGAGTTCCTTCATTATTTTTGTTCTTGTGCATATAACTTATTTTGTATATAGCTTAGGTTTACGTTTTGATTTTTGTATAATTTGATACTGTATATTGTATTGTTTTTAGTTGTGATGTAGTCTTTTTTCAGCACTGATGATGGAGTAAAGACTTCAAAACATCTGGAATTTGAAATCAATTTAAGAAGATATACAGCATATCTTTTTCCTCATCTTACTATTTTTATTGATTTAAAGGTGGCGACATATAAGAAGTTCTTCCACAAAAATGACAAAACGTGCAGAGCAGGAAGTGAACCAAGTGGTGACAACACATATGTGCACCCTTACATACATCCGTATCCTCTTACAGTTTAGCTTCAATCCCGTCTCCTTTGTCCTCTTCCATCACCAGAGCATTCCACTTACGGAGTAGAACTTGAGAAGCCATTGCCTTTCAACTCCTTTAGCTTGTCAAGGTCTTCCTTCAGTATTCTACAGTCCTCAGTTTTAACTCATTCGCTTGGCATCATCTTGTAGGTCATTCACATTAATTAAGAAGAGCAACAGGCCCAAGGGCCAAACCTTAAGGGACCCTATTTGCAACATCTCTCCACTCTTAAAAATGTCCTCTCTGACTGTGACCCAGTTTCTTGCTTGTCAAGTACTCCCATGTGCAGATCAAAAGGTTTTTCCACTTATCCCAGAACCTGCCTTTGGTGAGGATCCTATCAAATATATTTTGGCAGCCAACAAAAATGTCATCTACTGAACCCTCTCTCCTGCAATATATAGATGACCTCGATTTAGAACTATCAATTGTGCCAGATGTGGCTTTTCATCTCAATAACCATGCATACACCATGCCCAGTGCAGTTCGTTGTTGCTTTCGACCTCGTTCTGACAGTTCCTGCGATGGCAGTGGAACCAATTTTAGTTGCACTTGCCTTTCCATGGGAGACTTTTGGCACTGTTATATACCTGCTGCATAGGTAACGACTTCTCCTCCGTATCAACCTACCTTGGCTTTGCACCCTGGAGAGGCCACTCCAGATTGACAACCAAAGTGCAACTCCATAGTCTCCCGAGACTGATGGATGCCTACTACTACTGTACCCACCCCCCCAGTAGCCATGGTGATAGTCTGGCCAAACTGTTCTTGCGTCTAATTCCATCAAAATTGGAATTATTTTGTCCTCTTCAGTAACCAAAACTACTACTATCCAGCTCTCATTTCCTACACTGGGCTTCCATTCCAATTTCATTTGAAAAAAAAAAAAAAAAAAAAAAAAAAAAAAAAAAAAAAAAAAACTTCCTGGAACCCCTTGCCAAGTGTCTCATACCTTCTTACCATTTTTTTGTTAGAATGCTCCCCTTCTCTATTGTTTGATCATTGTTTAATTGTTACTCTGTCATTCTTACTTGCCATTCTATAATTGTTACTCTGCATCTCTCCCGACACTGTTGTTCTCATTTTTTTTTTATCTTAGTGCCTCAATGTTGACGTCTGTTTTATAGATTTGACGTTCTTTAGTTACCTGCATGGTGTATTGAACAACAGATTAACCTTGTTTTTCTTATCACCTTTTTTCATGAGGAGGATGAACTCCTCTGTGGCTTCTGTATATTTCTGGCATACAAATGTCATCTTATTTGACATCTTCCCTTTTACTTAATTTTCCCACTGGACTTCCTGTGGGCAGGTCCTTGTTTGCCTACAGTTATCCCATTTACAGTCTTGTGTCTTTCTCAAACCATTTCCAAATTCAATTCAACTATATAATCATTTATACTGAAGTAGTCGTTGGCTTCAAAGTGTCCCCCATTTTCTCTTCTCGGTGGTCTGCCTTATTTTTTAGTAAAAACTAGATCTAGAATGGTTAGTGGGCTACTTTCTCTCTCTCTTGTTGCCTTCATGATACCTTTTCCAATCTATTTCCCTGTGGTTGATATCAACCCTTATAAATAAAGGGTCTTCAGGAAATTAGGTATAGCTCTTTGGGTTCTGCCTCCTAGCTATTAATAGCTGGTGCATTTCAAATTCATGAAGTTGTTTTTGTCATATTTCATCTTGAAACTGTGGATGAAGGTAGGCAGCTTGAACTACTATTTTTTTTTTGTGCGTTACACTTGTTGACTAGCTTCACAGTGTACAAATGTTTTCTTACTTCACTCTGGCTCATTTGCATTTCCAGCTTACAACCATGTTCTCCTGTCTTTATTTCCCAACAATTTGAAAACAATGTCTATTCCTCTCAATATTTTGTATGTAATGATCGTATCCTCTGTTACTTGAGTTGCTCGTTTAGGTCCCTTAATTTGTCTGTGTAACTTTAATCTCTTCAGACACTATGACCGCTACACATCCTTCGACATCCCGTGGTGGAATGACCAGAATCCAAGATACTGCACTCTCAAGGGTTTGGGGTAACATTCGCAAATATATAATTTGTCCACCAACAGGGAAAGTGTTGACAGACCTAACCAGACTCCTACCTTGCTCTACATTAAAAACTCTCATACCCAGCCCATGACAAGTTGGCAAACATGTTTTTGTTTTTTGATTGGTTAAACTTTGTATGTAAATAGTGCATCAAGTGTAATGACATGTGACTTTCTGTGTGGTCCCTCAGTAGCTCCCAATGCTCCAGGCTCTGATACCATCAAGCCTCCAAAAACATGGTAGGAACCTGTGACTTGTCCTACGAAAAGCCAGGATAAGAATTTCGTTCACTCAGAGGCAAGAGAAGATATGAGAGAGAAGCCCCAAACCAAGGAAACTCCAGAAATGTATAGACAATATAAAACCACTGCTCTTAATAAGATAATGGAAATATAGCAACAAGTTAGAAGCAAGCAAAAAGCAGTGCTTCAGGGAGGTAATGGCTTTGCCAATAAGAAATGCAGCATTGACACTTAAAGTGAGGTTATCGTAATACAGTATGTTGATTCACAGGGTAATGCGGCCATCATCACATGTTGATTTTACATATTATTGTCTGGTTTTTACATCAGTGCTAAGAAGACTATAATAGCTCTATATGGATGTACAGATTTACTAAAGAGGATTTTACCTCAACCCATGAAAAAAAATCATCATTTCATGATTGCTGACAATGCAAATACGATTATTATAGTATAAAATTTCATTATAATTTTGCGAGTTGTATATCGATTACATTCATATAGTTTTCACAACTATCTATGGTTGCAATGAAGTATACCAGGTCAATTAATCATTATCATGTGATACATGCACCAGGGGCCTGTCATCATCTATAGGTGGGCAGACTGGGGTTCCTAAGTTTGAGTCTGTACAATGCCAATGCCAATTAGGTTTTGCAAAGTACCAATTTTCAATTAATGTAAATATTGGACATAGCCAATTGCAATTCGTTACACAAGTAAAGCCCTTTCCACCACACCGCCTACACTCCTTCCATCAGCAGGCTCTCCTCTCCCCACCTAAGGCAAAAATGGTCCCGTTCCAACCCTGTGCGATTGTGTGGGTTACCTCGAGATGGTTTCGGGGCTTAGCATCCCCGCGTCCCGGTCCTCGCCCAGGCCTCCTAATCTCCATCCTCAGGTTACCGAGGATGAACTGTGAAGCTTGACCTCTCATAATGTCATCTTCCCATTGATTTGGAACATATTAATAAAGAACTGCAGAAGACCTATTAGCCCGAACAAGGCAACTATTTACACCCAAGCAGGATGTCATATAATGTCTTTCACAAATGCAAGAAACTCCAAAAAAGCAAAACGCAAAAATCAATTAGAGCATTTTTTCCCTTTTGGGAATGTTGTGAAGGACTAAGCTCAAGAGTAGAACACACAGCAAAGCACAGAACAGACCAATAAGCATATAGTTGCCAACTAGCCAAATAATGAACTTAAGGTTTTATTTTTATAAACCAAGCTACAAAATGAACACTCAACAACATTTATGCAACAAAACACTTCAACCACAAAAGGGCCTATGGCAAACTACACACGAAGTGTGTAGTTCTACACACATCCATAACACACAACAGTATCAAATGACACAATCAACTCTAAACCCCCCCACACACTTTTCTCTCACACTCACACAATATATATATATGCATTAGGAAGTGATGTGTTAGAGGCTGACTCCATACCCAGCTTCAAGTGCAGATATGATAGAGCCCAGTAGGCTCAGGAACCTGTACATTAGTTGATTGACAGTTGAGAGGCAGGACCAAGGAGCCAGAGCTCAACCCCGCAAGCACAATTAGGTAAATTGGGTAAGTACATATGATTACAGACCAATACCCCCATCAAACTACATCACAACAAAACCACAGCATCATCCATCACCATGATCCAACACAAACCTCAGTGCACCTAATGTGTTACTCACTCCATATCAACAGGCCTTACTTTGCAACTATGTTCCAGGAACTACCTGGAAGTAGGACTAAGGAGATGACATGTATAGGAGGAAACTGAATTTCTTGTCAATAATCCTAATGGGAAAAGGAAAATGCAAGCCAACATCAGCGAAGGGAATTTTGAAGCCACATTAGAGTGAAATAAGATGCATATGTAAAGCATAAGTAATAACAACAAATCAAGGCACACTGTCCTCAGGATGCTAACGCACTTAGCTGTAGGTAGCAGATATAATGTTTCCCGCAGGACCAACATGGTTTGCAGGTACCAGGCATATGAATGAGGATGGTGATGGACCGAGACCTTGGTTGACCTGAGCTGCCACCTGGTGGCAGTTGGGTAATTTAGAGCAATGGTTGTTCACTTCCAACTATCACTTGTTAACTTTCTTATCTTAAGAAGAGAAGTGGCAGCTAGTTTTATATTACCTGTGACCTTCTGGGAGGTTTCTAAGGTTTGGGTTGATCTCTGAGCCCCAGCATCACTCGCCTTTGAGTGAATTAGATATCGGTCCTGGTTCTCAGTAGGGTGCACAGGTATCTGTGCACCCTACCTACCTGCACCAATAAAGCCACGTTTTCAGAGGATTTATGGTACCAATTGCCTCGAGCACTGTGCAGCTACTAAAGGGGACACGACGTAAAATTTGAAAAATACTCTGGAATAATTTCGTATTCATACCAAATGGTGCCATAGGTGTTACTCAAGCCAAAACAAAACTTTTCAAAATTATGATGTTCAAGGCACTTTTACTCTTGATTAACACAGAACTCAAATGAATAACTAAAATGACTATAATTAAGACAACTTTCTGGAAACATTTATGCCATGGTTGCCCCTTTGATCTCCCCACATGAATATGGTACCAAACATAGTTAAATAGATCCTGTAAAAAAATTAAAAGCGAGAGAATTTTTGCATTGCAAATAATTACAACTCGTCATAAATCTATATACCACAATACTTGGCAAATAATGAGACATAGCAGTATCGGCAAGATTAATACATTAAGGTGCTAGGGATTTGTTATACAACATTAGGGGAAAAAAAATAATAGTGTAACCCCTAACTCTCTTCAATTTATAATAAAACACATGCTGATATTACCGAGACGTTTGCAGCAGCTCCCAAATGGACTGCAGGGAGAGAGTGACGAGGGAAACCTCACTTCAAGACAACAAGTCTTGAGTTCTTGTTGTCTTGAGCTAGAGTTTTCTGGATATTAATGGCATCTTTCATCTTGACTCATGTACTTACTTACATGAACTATACATTTACTTTTTCACTTTGAGGATGGTGTCCAATATTCTAAAAACTATCGTGCAAAAAATCTGAAAATTTGTTACCAGTAATATCAATAATATTGTAGTGATATCATGCATATAAGCTGGACTACACCTCACCAAACTAAGCTCCTATCTTTCCTTACCCGTCTAGTTCATTGTAACACCTGCAAAGCAAGAAAATACACATAAATACTGAGCTAATGTCCAAGATTATTTATTACCCAATATGCAAGAAATGTGATAAAAAGCCACACTAGAGAAAGTTATAAACAAGAGGAAACACAAGAAACACTAAGCATTAGCAACACACTTCCACACAATACTTGGCTCAAAACATAAAAACATCAGAAAATATTAGATTCAAAATATTTATTATCAGGCATAGTTCTTCTAGTTATTGCTGGCAATAAGAAAATAAACAAACAATTTAGTAAATTGAACAACATTACTGTACACAAGCTTTATATTCTGCAATTATAATCAGTGAATCAAATGATACAATGACAAAAGCTTGAAATCTACAGCAGTTCACAATTTTAATTAAATCTTAAAATACCACTTTCTCAAGAAATTAAAAGAATTATCTTTAAATTGAGATACTGTAATAAATTGCCAGAATATCTGCAGAAACCAACTTTAGGATTTTTCATGCTGCATAATCAGGGTATGAAGCCCAGGGGCCAGATTCAAGAAGCAGTTACACAAATACTTGCGAACCTGTACACCTTTTCTCAATCTTTGGCGGCTTTGTTTACAATTATTAAACAGTTAATGAGCTCTGAAACACCAGGAGGCTGTTTATAACATCAACAACAGTTGATTGGAAAGTTTTCATGCGTGCAAACTGTTTAATAAATGTAACCAAAGCTATCAAAGATCAAGGAAAGATGTACACGTTCGAAGTACTTGCGTAACTGCTTCGTGAATTTGGCCCCAAGAGTCAAGAGTCATCAAGCATTTACTCATCTACTTACAAACCTCTACATCTTTTCTCAATTGTTGGTGGCTTTGTTTACACTTACTAAACAGTTATGAGCATCGAAACTTCCCAATCAAATATTATCATTATAAACAGCCTCCCAGTGTTTTGGAGTTTATAATCTGTTTAATAAATGTAAACAAACCCACCTAAGATTCATTAAAGATGTACAGGTTCATATGTAGATGAATAAATGTTCGTTGAAACCAGTTGAAACTCATTCCTTAATTATGATAAGAAAGGTTACAAAATACACCCTATATCCCAGTGCAGGATTACCCAGTAATGTCCTCCAAGCATTCCAACCTATTCAGTTTTTCATGCAAACATTCTTTTACATCAAAATCTCTTAAACAATTCTTCCATCCTGTTCTTGATCAGCCTCTTCCTTTCCTTCCCTTTATTCTTTTCTTGCAAACATCCTTCATCAGCGTGTAGACACTAATGTTCTATATACCTATGTCCATATCATGTACATACTCTCTCCTATTTTTCTGACTCTTCTTCTATTCCATACACTCAACTTACATGTCTATGCCTTACTGTGCATCCTAATACTTCACATCGGGTCCACAAAGATTCATTATAAGGACGGCACCTTACTTGTTTCTTTTTGTAATACATACACATGTATGTTCCATACATACGTAGCAATTAGGGATGACTACAGTAGGCCCATTAGCCCAAATTAGTCTGGTCCCATTTAAACCCCACTTCCTCTCTTACCCAAATACACATCAAATCTATTTTTGAAACCTGTTAAACTGTCTCAATAACACTTGCTGGCAATCCATTCCACTCAACCTCAATCTAGTTTTCAAACCGGTCCTTCCATTTCTTTTCACTTCTCTAAAGTCAAAACTTATCACAGCAACCTCAACTAAGCCTCCTAGTAGATTTTGCAGCACTTCAAATTTATATTCTGGCACAGTTATTCTGTGCAAGAATATTCTGGAGCATTATTATCTTTTAATGCTCCAATTAACTACCTTCCTAATAAGAATTTAACTGGATATTGATTTTAAGGCCCAATGCAAAGTTCATCGTTCTACGCGTGTCCATGTGAATCTTGGGCATCAATGAATCCATTTCTCCAGTCATGTATTAATTAAATTTGAAATACTCAATACAGTGTGTTCTAACTTCTCCCTATCCAACTAAACACTAACAGTGCTGCAGAAAATATCACCTTTACCTTATTGGCGCACACACACTAGCAAGGAAGTGTTGTCTAAAAGGTGTAGAGAAGTTCAAGAAAATATTCCTGCAGAGGGATATGACAAGGGAAGAGAGAATACGGACAGCAGACGCGAGGAAGGAGCGCAGGGAGAGAGAAGGAAATCAGAGTACCACAACCCAGAACCCTACAATCCCAGAGGGAAGTGGAGAACCCTCCTCAAACAGTGCAACAGCCACAGGGATTGGGGCACCACCCCCACATTCTACCCAACAGACACCCAACCTGCCCCATCCCCTGTCAGCCCCCCACTAAGTACCCACCTAGGGCACCCTCCCCCCACCCACCCCCCTCCCCCCACTCACCCCCCTCCCCCCACTCACCCCCCTTCTCCCCCTCACCCCTCTCCCCAGGACCTCCCTTCCCCCCCATCCCCCATGCCCTCCCTTCTCCCACATGCCTTCCCGTCTCTCCCACCCCCATGCCCTCCCTTCTCCCCCTCCCCCCTAAGCCCCCCACTCTCCCCCACCCCACCTAAGTCTTCCCCTCTCCCCCACTCCCCTAATCCTCACCCACCTCAGCCCTCCCTTTTCCCCCATGCCCCCCAAGCCCTCCACCCTTTTCTCTCCCCCCAAGCCCCCCATCTCCCCTATCCCCCACAGCCTCTCCTCCCCCCATGCTTCCCCAACCCTCCCTCTCTTACCCACCCCCTGTACCCTCCCCCTCTTATCCACCCCCTGTACCCTCCCCCTCTTATCCACCCCCTGTACCCTCCCCCTCTCCCCCACCACCCCAAGCCCTCCCTCCTCCACCAATCCCCCCGTGCCAGGTCCCCCCAGCTCCCACTCACCCCAGATCCCAAAGGTCCCCCCCAGAAAAGAAGCAGAAGAGAGTCAGTTTCAGGGTGATGTACTCGAACATAGATGGGATCACAAGCAAGACAAGTGAACTAAGGGAAAGAGCACAAGAAGTTAACCCAGATGTAATCGGACTCACTGAAACAAAACTCTCTGGAATCATAACGAATGCCGTGTTTCCCCAGGAGTATACAGTAATAAGGAAAGAGAGGGAAGGTAGAGGAGGAGGCGGAGTGGCCCTACTCATGAGAAGGGAATGGAGTTTTAAGGAGATGGCCATCCCGGGCTGTGAGGAGTTCAGAGACTACATAGCAGGCACCATAACAATGGGAGGACCAAGAATAGTAGTAGCAGTAATATACAACCCTCCACCAAATGACAGGAGACCCAGTCAAGAGTATGAAAACAACAACAAGGCAGTTAACACTATAATTGAGAGGGCAGCCTCTGCTGCCTGTAGAAATAGATCCCACCTGCTCATCATGGGCGACTTCAATCACGGAAAGATTGACTGGGAGAACAAGGAACCGCATGGAGGCGAGGATACGTGGAGAGCCAAACTATTGGAGGTAGTGACAAGCAACTTTTTAACCCAGCATGTCGGAGAACCCACAAGGATGAGAGGAAATGACGAACCAGCAAGACTCGACCTAGTCTTCACTCTGAACGACTCCGACATAAGAGAAATCGGTTTTGAGGACCCAGTAGGAATGAGCGACCACAGTGTACTGGTGTTTGAGTACTTGATTGAAGAAGGGTTATTGAACTCGAGGAGGGATACCGAAACCAAAAGGTTAGCATACCGAAAGGGAAACTATGAGGGGATAAGAAAATTCCTAACAGATATAGCATGGGAAACAGAGCTCAGGGGAAAGACGGCCCAAGATATGATGGATTACATCACGCAGAAGTGCAAGGACGCAGCAAACAAGTTTGTCCCAGTCCAAAAGGAAAACAGAGAAATGAAGATGAGAAACCCATGGTTTAATCAAAGATGTAGGCTAGCTAAGCAGCAAAGCAAAAGGGCATGGAGAAACTATAGGAATAACAGGACACTGGAGAGCAGAGAAAGATACCAGAATGCCAGGAATGAATATGTCAGGATGAGAAGAGAGGCTGAAAGACAATACGAAAATGACATCGCAAGCAAGGCAAAGACTCAGCCTAAATTGTTGCATAGCCACATTAGGAGAAAAACAACAGTAAAGGAACAGGTTATGAGATTAAGGATAGGGGCGGAAGGATTCACTACAAATGACAAGGAAGTGTGTGAGGAATTGAATAAGAAATTCCAGGAGGTCTTCACCTTAGAACAAGGAGAAATTCCAGAGGTAAGTGAGGGAATAGCTAACCAGGAACCACTGGAAGAGTTTGAGATTACCAGTGGGGAAGTAAGGAAGTGTTTACTAGAGTTGGACGTGATGAAGGCTATAGGCCCAGATGGAATCTCCCCTTGGGTTCTAAAGGAAGGAGCAAGAGAACTGAGCCTACCACTCTCCATAGTGTATAACAAATCACTGGCAACAGGGGAACTGCCAGATATTTGGAAAGCAGCTAACGTAGTCCCGATATACAAGAAAGGGGATAGACAGGAGGCACTGAACTACAGGCCAGTGTCCCTAACCTGCATACCATGCAAGCTGATGGAGAAGATTGTGCGAAAAAAACTAGTGGAGCATCTGGAGCGAAGGAACTTTGTAACACAGCATCAACATGGGTTCAGGGATGGCAGGTCCTGCCTCACAGGGTTACTTGAATTCTACGACCAGGCAACAAAAATAAGGCAAGAAAGAGAAGGGTGGGCAGACTGCATATTTTTGGATTGTCAGAAAGCCTTTGATACAGTACCACACAAGAGGCTAGTGCGAAAGTTGGAGATGCAGGCTGGAGTGAGAGGGAAGGTACTCCGGTGGATAGAGGAATACCTAAGCAACAGGAGACAACGAGTCTGTGTGAGGGGTGAGGCCTCAGATTGGCGAGACGTCACAAGTGGAGTCCCGCAGGGGTCAGTCCTTGGACCTATACTGTTTCTGGTATATGTAAATGATCTCCCAGAGGGTATAGATTCGTTCCTCTCAATGTTTGCCGACGATGCAAAAATTATGAGGAGGATTGAAACAGAGGATGATAGTAGGAGGCTACAAGATGACCTGGATAGACTGAGTGAATGGTCCAACAAATGGCTGTTGAAGTTCAACCCGAGTAAATGCAAAGTAATGAAACTAGGCAGTGGAAACAGGAGGCCAGGCACAGGATACAGAATAGGAGATGAAGTACTTAATGAAACAGACAGAGAGAAAGATCTAGGAGTTGATATCACACCAAACCTGTCTCCTGAAGCCCACATAAAGAGAATAACGTCTGCGGCATATGCGAGGCTGGCTAACATCAGAACGGCGTTCAGGAACCTGTGTAAGGAATCATTCAGAATCTTGTACACCACATATGTAAGACCAATCCTGGAGTATGCGGCCCCAGCATGGAGCCCGTACCTTGTCAAGCACAAGACGAAGCTGGAAAAAGTCCAAAGGTATGCTACTAGACTAGTCCCAGAACTAAGAGGCATGAGTTATGAGGAAAGGCTGCGGGAAATGCACCTCACGACACTGGAAGACAGAAGAGTAAGGGGGGACATGATCACAACCTACAAAATCCTCAGGGGAATCGACCGGGTAAACAAGGATGAACTATTCAACACTGGTGGGACGTGAACAAGGGGACACAGGTGGAAGCTGAGTACCCAAATGAGCCACAGAGACGTTAGAAAGAACTTTTTCAGTGTCAGAGTAGTTAGTAAATGGAATGCATTAGGAAGTGATGTGGTGGAGGCTGACTCCATACACAGTTTCAAATGTAGATATGATAGAGCCCAATAGGCTCAGGAATCTGTACACCAGTTGATTGACGGTTGAGAGGCGGGACCAAAGAGCCAGAGCTCAACCCCCGCAAGCACAATTAGGTGAGTACAATTAGGTGAGTACACACACACACACACACACACTCATTTATATCTTTTTGCACATTGTTATTGACAACACTCACAGCACCTTCAAAATTATTCAATAAAGAAACCACACAACTATGGTAGTATCACACCAACTTCAACTCCAAAAAAATCACAAGAAATAAAACTTCTAAAGAATTAGAAGCATAGTATATTACTAGAAACTAAGATGTTGGGCAAACCCAGACTTTTCTTCCTCTATCACTGACAATTAAGCGCCTACACACACACACACACACTCATACCCATAGGCTGAACACAATAACAGTTCTGTTGCCTAAAATAAATGGAAAGAAAGAATTTATGGAATATACAGGCTTAGAGAAGTGGAAATATGGGAAGCCCCAGCTATGGTTAGCGATTTATCAATATTGTGAAATCGAATGACTTTAAAATTATTAGTTTTTAAATAAACAAATGAGATAAATAGCTCACTTTATGAGTTATATAAAGAATGAACATATAATAGATACACCGCACTTTAACAATATCCGGACTTTCATATAACGGTCCTGGTAAGTAATGGATCAAATTTACCTACAGGATTTTTACCTTCTGAAATTTACATCAGTTCATCACTTAGAAGTAATTTCCATAAAATCTAAATTGTTCTCATTTTTCTTAATTTTACTTTATTCTTAAAATACAGTATTATTAAAAATATCTCTCATTATGTAAGCTTTTTCACTGCCTTTCCCTCCAATACATAACTAAGCTGATACTGCTGTGTGGTAATAGCTTGAAACATCAGAAAACAGCAAGAACTTCCCAACCCTTGACGATAAAGCCAATTTATTAGAAAAAATAAACGGGGCTGGGTATGGCATTGATACCGATGCTGTTTACGATAAAAAAAAAAAAAAATTCCAATTTCTCGTTCTTTATTCCAAGCACGAGAACAGTATTTTGATGATGCTGGTTATCAATGGTTATGAAACATACAATGTAGCCCGAGGGTGGCTGCTGGTTGCAGTCTGTAGCCGAGACAATAGTATTAACCACGAGATCTGAGAACTTCAACACCAGTTCAGTGTGACTGCAGGAGTTTAACACACATTAATACTCATGGTAGAGTGCTACAATTGCACTTTGCTGCCATCATTTATCAAGGCCTGTCTCTGCTACAAAATATTTCAAGTAATCGAATAAATTTTTCCATGAATAATTATTATTCATGTACACATTAACCATTATTTATATACTTTTATGCATGAGTATGCTGAAATGTGATATACTGTATATCATTTGTTATGAGAAAAATCCAGAAATTTGATGATAAATAGCCAAAATAGGGAAATTATTCAGAAATCCAGATAGTTCGAAAAATCAAATCGGGTCCGGAATTATATCATCCAAACTGTCGAGGGTGCAGTGTAATGAACCATATGTTCAGTACCGTATTTTGAAAATGTTAACCAAGAAAATCCATAGCCATAAATTTATGCAATACAACTTACTATTTAAGCATGTATGAAACCCAAGGCATAATCAATAATTTGAATCGTTATAACATTAAATCGTGGAGGACCTGACCTGCTTAGGAGTCTATTGGGTGTCGAGACTGTGTCGTCAAGGAGAGAGCCCTCCGCAGATAAATATGCCAAATCACCAACTGATGATCTTCGCTTGCTGAAAATAAAATAAAATCTACATGAACCACCCATTACCCTTTGTCTTAATTTTTATAGAATTTTTATAGCCATTATAATGTTAGACACAGTTTGTGCACTTGGCCAACAATTATTTTATTTATATTTTAAAAGCATGCCAAGAAAACCATTTTTTAAAGCACACTATATTCATTCCAAACTAATTTATATTAATCTAACAATGAAAACATTAAACAATAATTGCTTTTATCACAGCCAGCCAAGAGGAGTATCCCCCAAGCTGTCATATCTCAGGATATGAAAGTGGTGGTTTAATTAATACAGGGAACATGAGTACACAAGTATGCACCTTTTGTGCATACTTTTGTATTTCTAAACCCCTCTACATTCAAGTACTGTGCTATATTTCATTATATTCCATTTGCTAACCGTCCATACAGGGTATGACTACTTATTTCCTAAAATGTCTGACTATTGTGTTTCCAGTTTCCACCAATAGTCTTGTCCTATTTTCTCTCAGTTTAAAGAGGCTTAAAGAGGTCAATCTTCTTTATTCCCCTCTGTATCTTTTATACATTGATGATATTACACAATGCTCCTCTTTTCTCCGGGGCTGTGAGACAATTTCTTTAATTAGCCTGTCCTCATAGCTTAGTACTGTTAGTTCTGGTACTAGTTTTTTGTAAACCAGAATACATCTTCAAAATTTTTTTTGTGTTTAAAGAGATGCGATCCCTTGTCACTTCAGCATACTCTATTAATAGACTCACATAAGCTGTGTACATGATCTTAAAAGCACTGGGTTCAGATTTATAAATGCTGTACCAGCTCATGCTCACCTGCTTCCCATATGTTACTGATGGTATCCATTGTTTCAATTATATCCATTGCCAATTTTTTATCTTTCTGATTATTTGAGTTGCCTTTTCCTCATGGTGTAAATGCTTCCTGGTTTTGTATCTCCATTTTTTATCTTCATTACATTACACTTTTTGGGGTTGAACTCTTAACAGCCATTTGTTTGTCCAATCCAAGAGTTTGTCAAGGTCTTCCTGTAGCACTACAAGCCCTTCATTTTTCACTCTCCTCATTAACTTTTCATCCTTAGCAAGCACTGATGTGTTTATATACTCAAGTCACTGTGGAAAGTGGTCTATATAGATTAAAACAGCAATGATCCTAGAACAGAACCCTACAAGACTGTTTTCAACTCTTTTATTAATTAAATTTTTAAATTTGTATCCTAGCCTTGAGCTGGGTGGAAGAAATAACACTTTATATAAAGTATGACATTTAATAACTATCACAGAGTAGTGATAACACACTCACCTCCCTATGTTGGTACTTTAATTTAAACCCTTTACTTTAATCATGGAAGGATGTTTCATTTGCAAGATGTCTTCTCAGGTCTCATACGACCTTCTCTAGTTCCTCTGTCTTCCAGTATTTCCTGGGTTATTTTATTCAGTGCCTCCATCTCTACTACCTCCATTTCTCTACCTTTTCTCTTTTCCTCCACCTCTTGCAATGCCTCATGGTCCCTTCTTAATTCTTCTATATTGTTTGTGTTGTGTTATTTGTCCAAATTTTTTAGCCACACCACTAAAGGCATTAAAAAGATCCATAACACCTGAATACTTATTTCCGCCTCTCTTCCTTATTATTAAGCATTTCCTTGGCAGTCATTCACATGCCCTCCTTCCTTACCCACCCCCATCTTTTATATGTCTCAGTTTGCAGCTCATTTTCCACCCATTTCTTTCCTCATCTAACTTTAATTACACACCAGGTTCTCAAGCTAGCTGGGGTGCATTCCTAGTGTGTTGCTGTCTTGGAGAAGCACTTGCCCGAGTTCCCTGTAAAGTATGGGTGGGGGAACCTCTTTTCTGCCAAGGGCCATTTGGATATTTATAACATCATACCTCAAGATAACCTCAAGATAATCATTCGTGGGCCATACAAAATTATCAACTTAAAAATTTGCCTGCTATATTTGGTCAAACATTTCATTAAACTCACCCCCTAATGTGATGGTTGGAACTACACATGCATATGTGTGTGTGTGGTGTGTGTGTGTGGTGTGTGTGTGGTGTGTGTGTGGGGTGTGGTGTGTGGTGTGGGTGTGTGGTGTGTGTGGGGTGTGGTGTGTGGTGTGGGTGTGTGGGTGTGTGGGGTGTGGTGTGTGGTGTGGGTGTGTGGGGGGGGGGGGTGGGTGTGTGTGTGTGTGGGGGGGGGGGGGGGGGGGGGGGGGGGTGTGTGTGTGTGTGTGTGTGTGTGTGTGTGTGTGTGTGTGTGTGTGTGTGTGTGTGTGTGTGTGTGTGTGTGTGTGTGTGTGTGTGTGTGTGTGTGTGTGTGTGTGTGTGTGTGTGTGTGTGTGTGTGTGTGTGTGTGTGTGTGTGTGTGTGTGTGTGTGTGTGTGTGTGTGTGTGTGTGTGTGTGTGTGTGTGTGTGTGTGTGTGTGTGTGTGTGTGTGTGTGTGTGTGTGTGTGTGTGTGTGTGTGTGTGTGTGTGTGTGTGTGTGTGTGTGTGTGTGTGTGTGTGTGTGTGTGTGTGTGTGTGTGTGTGTGTGTGTGTGTGTGTGTGTGTGTGTGTGTGTGTGTGTGTGTGTGTGTGTGTGTGTGTGTGTGTGTGTGTGTGTGTGTGTGTGTGTGTGTGTGTGTGTGTGTGTGTGTGTGTGTGTGTGTGTGTGTGTGTGTGTGTGTGTGTGTGTGTGTGTGTGTGTGTGTGTGTGTGTGTGTGTGTGTGTGTGTGTGTGTGTGTGTGTGTGTGTGTGTGTGTGTGTGTGTGTGTGTGTGTGTGTGTGTGTGTGTGTGTGTGTGGGCATAGCATGTGTGTGTGTGCACGCTCATCAAGTATTTATGCATTTCATTTTGAGCAATTTTTTTGCACTTTCTGTTGGTGGTTTGAGTGCTTCCTTTTCACAAACCATGCTATTTTATTGTACAGTATTGTCTCCCCTGCCTTTCTGGGTGCTTTCCCCATGTGATTCGTAATAATCCCCAGCTCTGTGCCTCTGTGAGGGGGCCAGGTTCTAGCTCTGGGTCCCTAGTAGGCTAACAGAGCTCATAAGACTGATGTGACTTGTGTATGGGAACTAACTCGGTCTATATAGCTACAGGAAGTCACCAGGGAGTTCACCCAGAAAATTTATTCAAACGTTTAATAAGTTAGCAAATGCTTTAGTATAAAAATGTAAACTTCTCTCATTCAATTCCTTTAGTACCAGAACAACTTACAAGCATAAATAAACTGTAGAACTCTCATAAATAAATTATTACATTAAAGAACTCGCAAAATGTTCAACGCCAAAAGAAATAACACGGTAAGCAGCTTTATCATGACTAATCATTCACATTCTAGAGAAAAATGCAGACACCAAGAGTAACAATAGATCAACTTACCAGTTCTCTTAATGCAGCACTGAGGCATTAATAATAAAACCAATATTTTACTTGATATGTCTATACGTGGTAAATGCTTACATAGTAAATGCCTTCCATCATGGCTATACATGTTTCTACTTTACAGAAAAACAAGCAATAGTTTTACCCTTTAGTTCTAGCTAAAGTTTATTGCAAGAAATGAGCTTTTCAATAAGAAATGGGAGTGTATTAAATACAGTATTACTGATATTTAACGAGCTTGAAAATATGGCATATGACAAGATGAATCGAGAATCATGGATGGGATTCTGAGAGTTGTTCTACTCCCCAAGCCTGGCCTGGGGTCAGGGTCGACTTGTGAGCTTGGAGTGGCCCACAGGCCCACATATCCAGTACAATCCCGGTTGGTCTGGAACTTCTTGCAGAAAACTGTCCAGTTTTTTTTCTTGAAGACTTCCACTTTTGTTCTGGTAATATTTCTTATACTTGCTAGGAGGATATTGAACAACTGTGGCCCTCTGAAGTTCATACAGTGTTATCTGATTGTGCTTAGAACACAATTCATTCAAGTTGTTAAGGTCCTAAGAACTTGCTAATTTTAAGAGAGCATTCTCTTTAAAATCAATTTTTTTTTCACTATTTCCCTGTCTCCACTCTCTTCTAGGTTTAACATGTTGCATATTTGATTTAAAGAAGGACATGGTTGCTCTTGCCCAAAAGAGCAAGGTACTGAATATCTTCTCCCCTAGTAAATATTAAATCCAGCATTGAAGGAGTCTCCTCTTCTCTATTATTGTCGTGACCTTTGTGTGTGTGTGCGCGTGTGCACACAAGAAGTTCATGTTTACAAGACATTTACCACTGAAATTCTAACGGGCATAACAAGACAAGAAACAAACCGAAAATAAACCCGACACGATCTGTCCTAGACCGAAATAAACAATCCTAGGCCTATTATATGCAATCTTGGACCTAATTTAGTACACATGTACTATAATAGTCTAGGGAGAGTTAGATGTGGTTGTTACCTTCTTTTTCCGACCCTCTACAAAATGAATAGTATCAAGATTTTCCTTGGGTGCAAATTACAAAATATGACTTGTCATCCGAACATGACAGTAACTATAGTTACCATACATTGCAGTTACCTTGCGTTGGTCCTCGGAATCAACGCAAGGCGACTGAAAAGTATAATAACTATAGGTACCTGTATTATCCTTTTTGGATGACAAGTTATCATAAACGCAACTCATTTCCATTCCATTTCTACCTACATGTCCCCGCTTGTGGCAGTGTTCTTTATACTTCTGTTATTGGATATTTCTCGACATTTAATACCATTACCCGAATTTATTATTGCAAATGGCAGTTGGCAATTTTATATACTGTATACACAACAGCATAAATGTTAAAATATTAAGGATTCCTAAAATTAATAAAACATTCAAGCTAATTAGTATGTTGAGAAAGGTTAGAGACTAGGAAGAATGGAATAATTTAAACTGCTCCAAAATATTAAGGGAAGTTATTATGCTAATGTAGATCACAAGAAATATATTCACTGTACATGAAAGAAGGTAGTGATGAAAATTCATTGCTAAAGTAAATTAGGTAGCAGTAATATAGAGAGCACTATACCTTGCAGGTGGAGCAGAGGGCAATGTGGAGGGCGAGTCATCCTGAGCTAAATGCTGCACCGTTTCTCTTAGACGTTTACGCCGACGACTTCTTGAACCTGGAGTACTTGGCGATGAAAACATTTGCCGTGGACTCATCAGAGTGCTTAAATTCTGAAAACAAAAATATGCTCGGGGGTGAACACACAGCTGGAAATGACTTTTCAGAAGAAAATCTATAAAACCAATTATTGCTCACACACCTTACATGTTTGAGTACTCTATCTTCAAAACTAAAAATAACCTGCGACATCAGACCCAGGCATGATATATGATATCATAGTTGGAATAAAAATTGGGATGTAATTGGGGTGTTAAGAAGCTTTTACCATTTGTTCAAAAAGATGAAGTTTCTCATCGGGACAAGCTTCCATTTGTATTGAAGTCCAAAACCACTCGGCTTTTACAACATGTGCTCGTGGTGGACAGTCAGCTGGCTTCTCTGTCATCGTCTGGTCTTCTAACACCTGAAGTCATTGAAATTATTGCAAGGATATACTGTAATTATACACAGTGCACCGTATTAAATTCAGACGTCTCAATATCTCATCCCTCTCAACAACAAACAAAATATGCTCACAATTCTGTAAGCTTTGGATCACCCCTTTATGACATTTTTAAAATATTTGGAAAAAAAAACTTTCTTTGCAAATGAGTTAAAAGTATTTAAAAACCTTGTATGAATATTTAGATTTTTTAATTCCTTAGATAGAAAATTAATTATATTCTGATACTGATATTGGTTTCTGAAATTTAGATAAAGTTACACCTTAATTTTACATTTTATTTTTCTAGCGAGATTCATTTAAAACATTAAATATATATGGCCAAATTAAGAAATACCATCACTGGCCTCAAAATTTAATATTTTTAATAAATGGGTGCCACATGCTCCAAAATTCTTCTAGTTAGTGACTTTTTACATACAATAACAAGAGTTATAATTAGTTAATAATAGAAGGAGAGATTTCAAATCTTGGTAGGTATAAAATATATTGTTCTTTTCAATATGGTGGGGAAACAAAGGGGAAGGGAGCGTGCAGGAAGATGGGGAGGTTATGTGGGTGGGGAGACATTAAGGGGGTGTGAAGGGAGGTGGGGAGACATTGAGGGGGGTGTGAAGGGAGGTGGGGAGACATTAAGGGGGTGTGAAGGGAGGTGGGGAGACATTAAGGGGGTGTGAAGGGAGGTGGGGAGACATTAAGGGGGTGTGAGTGGGAGACTGTATATGGGTGAACAGGAAGGGGGGGGGGGGGGGACAATGATGGTGTGTGGAGAGGGGAGACAGTGAGGGTGTGGGGAAGACGGTGAGGGTGTGTGGTGGGACATGGGAAGGGTGTGTGGTGGGACATGGGAAGGGTGTGTGTGGGGCACACAGGAGCAGTTTTTCCATCAAATTCTGGCATATGTACGAGCCGCACGAGTGTCGTCGGGGGGTTGGTCAGCCATGGAGCTTAGTTATAAAGCACCAGGACTGACCAATCTTTACATCCGATTAATGGTGCAGTGGTCACGGTACCGTGTATGTTTAGGGGTGATCCTGGACGTAATGGGTTTGACTGGGTCATTTAGAGTTTTTAGTGATAAATAAATGTGTGTATATTATTTATATTTATTTATTTGTATAGGGTAATAACAAAATACTACGATGATATAGCAGATAGAACACATACCACGTGTGTAGCCTGCGGGTCATCGAGAGATGTGAGTATTCCACCATTCTGCTGCACCAAGTCCTCCATTTGCACCTTCTCTTCCTCAGGAAAACCTTCTAGCACGATACGCAAGTTTTGAAAAACTTTTAATTTGTACTTGCCCTGGAGAGAAAAAATATAGTAAATGAACCTAGTTTTGTCCGTGTTGCTGCGCTCGATACTTTTATTATCTTGATTTACCTGGTGATATATACATACAGTATTGTTTTACATTCAGCACTATCAACCAGAATTCTTAATTTGATTATATCGATTCAAACACTTTTGTAGGTGAATACATAAGTGAAAATTCTTTCAGTGTAAAGTGACAGTTCACCGATTTACTGTAAAAGTGTGCGGCAGAACTGTACACTCCGGCTGTATATATCATTCATGTTATTCCCATACTTTACAAAAATATTTAACACAAAAGTTAAATCTGGTTTAGTTATATTAACATCACTGAACAAGTATATATATATTTTCTCCACACATGTTTGAATCCCAATAACATATAAAATATTGTGAACAAAATAATCATTGTATCAACTACATGAATACTACTTAATATGATCAACAATAAAGTCCTGGTAAGACTAACCATGGCTTCGCTATCGGCTCTGGCTTCTGCTTCATCCCGGTGAGCCCACGCAGCATGGACCCAGTCTTCCCCCATCACGGGAATGTTAAAGGTAACTGCATACTGATACTTTTCACCAGTAGAGGAGTAAGCCAGAAGATGGGTCACGTTCTCCTTGATTTCATTTTTGACACTACCACCCATGTAGTGGACTAACTTCAGTAATCTTGACTGAAATTTAAAATAGAAATGTAATATGAGGATAAAATATAAGTAAAGGTCATGATTGAATAAGGTAATTTAAAATTTCTGAAAACTGCACTTTTTATAAAGTAAAATGAAGTGAAGTGCTCTCGTCTCCTTACCAGACACGAAAAACGTACGAAAATAACATTGTATATACAATACATGGAAAATACTGGAGAGCCCAGATCCCAAATTTGCACAACAACAAATTGTAGTGAAAGATATGGAAGGAAATGCAAAAATAGAACCAGTGAGGAGTAGTGAGAGCACTGTCTGAACATCAGAGATCCACAGCTGTTCAATACCCTCCCAGCAAGCACTAGAAATATTGCCAGAACAAAGGTGGATGATTATAAGAAGCATTTAGACAAGTTCTTGCAAGAAGTGCCGGACCAACTGGGTTGTAGAGAACATGTGGGCCTGCGGGCCACTCCAAACAACAGCCTATTGGACCAAGTTATCAAGTCGATCCTGGTCCCCAGGCTTGGTGGGTAGAAGAATTCTCGGAACCCTCTCCAGGCATTCCTGTTTAAACTCCATTACAGGTATTTTCAGCACATTTGTCTATCAAAATATAAAAGTAACAAAAGATGCAAAAAATTCCATCCAACGATCTTTTAATCAATTATCAAGACATCCGGAAGTACAAATTGGTTCAGATAATTAAGGAAGCACTGTACTTCCTTCTATTTTCATTTGCATAGGAAAAAATAAGCGATAACCAGACACTAAGATGTTCCAAGTTCATTAGACCCTTATAGTATGAATCAAAAGAGAAACCTCATTTCTATATAGACACTAGAACAGAGGCCTTAACCTGAAAGTGGCACTGCCCTGGTAATTCTGAGCTTGCAAAGTGTCTGGCATCAAGATAGTATAACTATGATATTAGAAGGTACTGTATTATATACAGTACACCATTACACACACAGATCACACTAACGTGATGCATCAAATGAACAAATCCACAAGGGCCGTGACGAGGATTCGAACCTGCGAAGGCAGTGTCTGGGACACTCCCGGACGCAGGTTCGAATCCTCGTCACGGCCCTTGTGGATTTGTTCATTTACAGTACACCATTTCTTTTAGTACTACTAGGCAACACTTCTAAAACAGCATACATGGTTCCCTGGATTAAACTTAAATAACTACAAATATACCTTAAATTACTACACTGTATAGAATGCCAAAAGGACTGGTAATACAGAAGCAGTCAAACAGTTTTTAATAGAAAAGCACACTTACCACTTCTGACTTTTTTCTGAATCCAGTGAAAACTATAATGATGTCTTTCATGACATGACAGAAGACAGGACGACGGGTGTAAGTTAACATCCCACTCTCAGAATATTTTAACAGTGCTGGTTTCCCCAGTAATCTGAAAAATACAATATTTATTATATTATTCCATTGAATACGATATGCATCTAGATATGTTTCAAGGTAATTGCATCCATTTCCGAGGCAATGTCCTGGTATCCGAGTAATAACTAGAGCAAGTCGCACCAAACAAGGGAAGCCGAAACGTGCAACTGCTGAAATTTGTGGATGGAAGGCAAATCCAGAGCCCTGATTAAGGACCTATAAATGCACATTAAGGAAAGTGTCGGCAGCATCCAGCTCAAACCGAGATGAAAGAAAATACAGGCAATCAATCTGAAGAAACCCCATCAGGTTTCTAGCAGAGGACTATTAGAGCAACTCGGATAGGACTTTCATCACACTGTATGCTATACCATCATGTCAAGAGATGTAAATGTACATTCCTTTTAGGAAGGTACATTTAATTTTAAAGGTAATTCTGTCATAGTTATCATATAAATTAATACTAAGATTATGTTTAATCAGTTGTAGGTTCTGTATACTAGCAATACTTACATAATGTTTAACCACTGTGATGCGCCGAGTTTATTGTGAAATTCCCCGTGCACACGAAATCAAATGTTCCCCAAAAATTCTTTCTTCATAAAATGTTAAATTCCCTTCCCTGAACATGTCTATGTAAAAATAAATACCAAATTCCACTTACTTTGGCTGTGGGGACATGGACAATGTGCGCTGTGACGTCATCAGGGGCTGGTTGCCCGTGCGGGACACGCCCAGACACGGTCGCGCGGGCCATTCAAGCACCGGGTGTTGCCACAAATTTATTTTCAATTATTTGTTCTATATATTTCCAATGCGGTTTTATGTTTTTTTATCGTATATGATGCATATTTGTGTCCATTACAATATGTATACAGTAGAATGTTCATAATGTTCCATGGAACTGTAATACATGTGTCACCAATGTGTCCATAATAAATGTTTATTGTCGCAATATTACTTGTTAAAAATTCACTAAAATTACAATATACTAACACACTATATTACACACACAGTACTTCAGAAGTGAGTAATAATCAACGAAGTAGTCCATGGTACACAGCAAGACTTCGCTCTCGTTGCACCAGGTACAGTAGGATTTTCGCTTCCTTTTCTTTAGTCTGTGTGGTTGTAAATAACCAAGCCTGTAAAGCATTAGTACTTGAAAAGATTATAGGAACCAAGCCTCAAAAGTAAGGTAGTCTTGAAAAGATTATAGGAAAAGATCAATTTGTAAGGTAGTCTTGAAAAGATCACTTTGTGAGGTCCCACGCAGGAAGAGATTCAGCCAGCCTCAAAGAGTATCCGTCAGTCAAGAAGAGATTCAACTATTCTTGAAAATATCTATGGAAAACACCACCATGGAAGCCCCTAACACTGCTAATCTATGCTACTTGTATCAGATGCATCATCACTGAACGCAGAAAACGATTCATCTATATAAATTGGAGATAGCATAGGTGGGCAAGGGTGGCACTCAGAGCTATAACTGGATATGCTCACTGTATCCTCCTCATAGGTGCTGTATCACTTGCATCCGACCTTTGTGTTAGGTCCTTATTGCACCTAGCTTCACCAATATTACGACCTTTATGTTCAAGCAATCGGGTTCAAATTTCACCGACAGCGCGCGATCTTTCAACACAGCGTCAGACAGGTGATTGGGAGCCAGAGGCGCGTGCGCCACCCATGGTTGCTCACTCGGTACTAACCCAGCCAGCAGCCCTAGGGCATTTTGGGAATTTTTTCCAAGATGGCTGCCTCTCACTGGAGGTTCTAAGAGTCCATTTCATACATAACCAACCGCGCACACATTTAGAATGGATATGAAAAAATAAGAGTTTTCTCGGATGGCGCAGTTTCCCACCAACCGAGAATACTCGGTTGGCGCAGTTCAGTGGTCAAGGAAAATGCTAGTATTGGCTACAAGTGAGTGATGAACAAGGTAGGGCCATGTTAGGCTGCAAAATCATTAATATTTTGGACTCCATTTTAGCTGAGGATGGTGCAGGATTTATGCCTTGCAGCAATTTTTTCCAGTACAAATTGAACATCCCTCCTATTAATTCTCTAAAACTCTTGGTTGACATTAAGAAATATATTGAGTGAATCAGATGCTTTGTGTTTTGTATAATTCAGCTGAAAAGATTACTGTATTAGTCTTCATGGCTGATGGCTCCTTAAGATTAAGGAGCCATCAGTTAGTATTTTAAAAGTTGTTCAATGTCAACAAATCTTTTTTGACTAGTTGTATATAAATAGGGTTGCAATTGTTCCAAGCTTCAGGGTTGAATTTTTTATTTTTTTGTTTTTACATATTTTCAACCTCTATCTTCAGCCACACGTTTCAAATGAAATCATTTCTATGACACTCTTCTATCACATTAGCATATAATAAAAGGTCCTGAATCAGCGGATTTTCCAAAATATGTTTAGTTTTACTAATACAAATAGTCAAAGTTCCCCCCCCAAAATTATGCAAATATAGCATGTTTATTACCATTATAAAATCAATAAATGAACTTAGGAAAAAAATTTTGAGCCAGATTGTAGAAACAAACTACACATAAGGTGTAAGTTTCAAGTAAATTGAATAAAAAATTTAAGAGTTATAAGAACGTTTATGTTACTTGAAATAAATACGTAAAAAATAAAGTCTAAGGTTTTGCCATCTGTGGCCGAGATTGACATCAACCAATTTCCTGGCACCCTTGGCACCCTTACAGATAGGGTTACATGCAGTCAGGTGTATAAGTTTCATGCAAATCGCCCGACAAACAAATAAAAAAAAATTTATTACTTTTCTTAACTAATTTTTTTTGGATAAAACTAATTAAATATTTTTATTATATGCTATTGTGAGAGCTGAGAGTAGTAGACATGATTTCAGTTGACACTAGTGTTTGATATTAATCTTTGACCATTTTGGAAATTTTTTGACAATTCAATTTTTTTTTCTCCCTTCCTATTTATGCTACAATGCCGAGACTTGGACCAGATGAAACCCTTTTCATATACTGTACATCAAAAAAGTTTGATTGAAATCGAACTAGTTATTATTTATAGCATATTTTTGGCATATTTGAAACTAATGCCCCTTTAAGCCACGTTATTGTGACTCATCGTCTGCAGTACTGTGTTATTCCCCCTCAACACGCTTTTAACACACAACAAATTCACCCTCACATCAAGTGGCAAAGCAGATTAAAATTAATGTGGCAAACTTAATAGATGTCCAAATATTTGAAGAGACCTCCACAGCATGTGCACATTTACATTTTAACAATAATACTTTAATTAATTTTTTTACAAATTCCTTAAAAGTTTATTTGCTAAAAACACACACAGTTTACCCAAACTGTGCAAATAAGTTTATACTGGTAATTTATACACAGAATGGAGCTCTCTCAATACAATCTGCAACTCATAGGTCTATAGAATATAAAATAACAAATTATCCAATAAAATACAGGACAATTTTTTTTTTTACCAAGCACCTAATTATGATATCAAAACAGAATGTACATACCTAGCACCAGCTTTATTTAACTCCTCAAATTCGTCACTCTCAAAATCAGCCAAAATGAAATATGTGCAGTAACTGAAGTCTGATACATATTCTTGTCCTGTTTCTGAAGTTACAATAGGCACATCGAATTTCTGAAAAAGAAAAAGAAGTTTAGATGTTTTATTGTATGAATTCGACCAGTAAGAGCACTTTCCACGACATCCAGGTCAACAGCAACTGCTATGGATGGTACTCTGTGTGTGAGACATTATTGCACCCTAGATAACACTAGTGTCTTTTAAAAATTATCATTGGTTTCGAATTTCTTGTTTGAAAGGTTCTTATTATCCAACCTGTCATATTTCTTGCAATTGTGACAGTTACTGAACTTTATTGTGTCCTTTAAAAGTAAGGTCTTCTGATATGATTACTACCAGGACTTTAGCAAAGCAAGGATGAAATGTTTTCTAGATTTAACATAAAAAAGCTAAATATACACTAGGTTAAACAGTACCTTTGCTGCTTCAAGGGTTTCTGCATCATCTGCCAGGCTGCCAACTAAACAAATACGTGGATCCGCACCCGATTCCACCTCGACCTGGCTTACTGACGTCACATCCACTGAAAGAGTAAAAACACATAAGAACTCGTAAAATTCATTACAATTCAAGACTTTAAATGTGACGACTATAAATTTCTATACCGGTACAGTACAGTACATTACAGTCTTGTCATTTTGTATTTTTCAAGTTACAACCCTAATTTTGTCAGAAAATTTGACTCGGCTTTCATATTTCACATCATCAATAATACACCATATTTACATAACCAAATGTAATGAAACCTAACCTAACCGAACCTTAACCCCTAGGCTGCAGCTATCGTCTATTGACGATCCCTAAGGAACTGCCGTTATCATCATATGGCTACTTAAACAATTATTGTCTGGGTTTTACATGCATGATGCAAATATGGATAGACCTATTTGAATGTACATAATAGGCCTATGTGATTTTAATAGAGTTTACCGTGACCCATTAAAAAATCCTACCACCATTTCATGGTACGAATTTGGTAATCATCATGAATGTTTCTAGGGGGAATGCAGTCATTGTCATATGACAGTTTGAACAATTAGTAGATTTAAACAAAAGTGGATATAAATAAAGAAAAAACAAGTGATAAAACAATTAGTGAAACATACAAGGATAAAAAAAGGAAACGTCAACAAACTCGGGCACCAGGAGTTGACAAGTGCCAGATGCAGCCTTGTAGCCACCTCCATCCAATGAAATGATAAATATCACATTTTCATGCTTTTCTTACATTTTGCATACAAATTAATAATTATATAATGAACATTAATTTTTAGAATTTATTTTTTGGTACATTTGTATGACCATTTCTCCATAACCGCTGTCCAAGGGTTAACTTAACGTAATCTTGCCTTAACCTAACCATGGATAGAGAGTAGATAGCGGCACAAATTATGTAGCCGTTCCCATTTCATTTCCTTGAGCAGATCTCCCAGAAGATGGGTTGCTGTTATAACAGTATTTGTCACATTTTCCAATTTAGGTACTGTATCTTAAGTTGAAATAACCTAGCAAGATGATGTTTGGGGCAGGGTTTGTGAGGTTTTCTAAGCAGTACTGCATTCAATTTTTATTAGTTGGTCTTTAAACTACTGAGGATTTGCACAGAAAATGTTAGTGCCTAATTCGAACAAGCCTAACCTAAGGTAATAAATCCTAACCTAAATATATACAATACTTTATATACAACTTTGATTAGCTAATAGAGCCTCGTCAAAATATCTATGAATGACTTGACCACATCGTCTTTCTTCCCAACACAGTAATAAACTCATGGAACTGCCTACCTGCTGAAGCCATTAATAGAAAGGCAGTATTGTACTCCAGGTCAAAATCAGCTGACAAAGTCCTTAGGAATAACTGGAAGACTTAAGCCACTTGTTCTTGCCGAGGTCAATAGAGATGATGGCACTTAAATATCGGTTACAAACCTGGAAAGGATTTTGAAAGTTCTACTCCCTGAGCCCGGCCTGGGGCCAGGATCAACTTGCGATAACTTGGCACAACAAGCTGTTGCTTGGAGTGGCCCGCAGGCCCACATATCCACTACAACCTGGATGGTCCGGCACTTCTTGCAAGATCTTATCTAAATGCTTCTAATAAAAAAATCTACCTTTGTTCTAACAATGATTCTAATGCTCCCTGGAAGGGTATCGAGTAGCTGTGGACCCCTGATGTTCGGATATTGCTCTCCGATTGTGCCTATGGCACCTCTACTCCTCACTGGTTCTATTCTGCATTTCTTTCCATTATCTTTCACTCCAGTACAGTATGTTATTCTAATGCACAAATCTGGGGCCTGGCCCTCCCAGTATCTTCCACGAACCGCATATATTACTTGAAACCTTTCTCGTCTCCTTTCCACAGAGTATGTTTTGAAAGTTTTGAGACGGTCCCAATAATTTAGATGTAGTATAATTTCTATGAATAAAGTCCCGAGTTGGACTTGGAGAGCAAGAGAACTCTTGAAACTGACTATAGATAAACAACCATTGGTCACCTGGTCAAGGGTGACACAGGTGTGACCAGCCTATCATTGGTCACCTGGTCAAGGGTGACACAGGTGTAACCAGCCTACCATTGGTCACCAGGTCAAGGGTGACACAGGTGTGACCAGCCTACCATTGGTCACCTGGTCAAGGGTGACACAGGTGTGCCCAGCCTACCATTGGTTGGTCACCAGGTCAAGGGTGACACAGGTGTGACCAGCCTACCATTGGTCACCTGGTCAAGGGTGACACAGGTGTAACCAGCCTACCATTGACGGCTTGACCAGGGCCACAGCACATGTACCCGGCCACGTGTGACCCAAGGGGCATAGCTGGCAGGTGTGCCCAGCATGCCCTACGCCTCTTGGCCAAGCCCGCTGCAGCGCCTCCGTCACTAGTACCGGCCTAACCAGGCATTTCCACCTCCTGCCGGGCCAGATGCACCCATCCCCGCGACCCAAAGCTCCCCTGGCCACCACCAGCAGCCCCTACAACCCACCCTACTCACCGTTAAGCATTATAGACCTCTGCGTTACTTCAGCCATCTTCGTGAAAGTGTCTAAGAATACCGAGCAGCGGCAGCCAAGGAGCTCTGCCGCAGTTTACTGGCGTCTTGAAGGTGTTATGAGCCTCCTACACCAGTCCTCCATGGTCAGGCGGCGCCCTGCCTCGCCCCCCGCCTCACTCTCACTCTCTACCACAGATATTCCCGCCGAGAACACCCTATATTCACCGGGTATTTACGGGTTCACAACAACATACCACAAGGTGCCATTTAAACTGTTGCTGGCGTGACGTCACGGGGACACAAACGACGGAATAAGTGAAGAGCGGCCGTGCGCACCCTCCATCAACACCTTCACTACTACACACTTCTACACCATATATCCCCTCCACCTAACCCCCAATATATCCCCATATAAAAAAAAATCCTCAAATATATAAATAACATCCAGTTACACTCCTTTATAATCATAAATTTCATCATTCAATGCATTCCTTCATAATTCCCTCTATATAATTCATTTTTCCTGCTATAATTCCTTGTATCGATAATATTGTGTACAAACTATCTATTGTAAACAATTTTGGAATGATATCTCCTTTGCCGGTGTCTGTATTTGTTAATGTATTAGCTCTGCTAACCTTGAGTGTTGGCACCTTAAATGTTAAGGAGACAATAGGACAGAATTAAGTGCAGGGCACGTAACGTAGGCTAGTCACTTCCTGCCCCAGCCACAACTGTGCCCACTCCCTTCAGTGTCACCTCCAGGGGCATTATAACACCCATACGGTCACCAGGAGCATGATAACACCACACACAGTCAGTCACCAGGAGCATTATAACACCATACACAATCACCAGGAGCATTATAACACTATACACAGTCACCAGGAGCATTATAACACCATACACAGTCACCAGGAGCATGATAACACCACGCACAATCACCAGGAGCATGATAACACCACACACAGTCACCAGGAGCATGATAACACCATACCCAGTCACCAGAAGCATTATAACACCACATAAATCAGGTAATAAAGTCACCAGGAACATTATAACACCACATAAATCGGGTAATAAGGTCACCAGGAACATTATAACACCACACGTTACCTGCAGAAGCACTATAACACCCCACAAGATCACCATGAACATTATAACAGCACTCAAGGTAAACCAGGAGCATTATAAGGCCACACAAGGTAACCACAGATATATTATAACACCACACAAGGTCGCCTGCAGAGGTATCATAACACTACACAATGTCACTAGGAGCATCATAACACCTCAGGCTGCAGCAGCACTATTGCAGGTATACACTACAGTAGCCTCGCCGTATAGTATACACTACAGCAGCCTCGTCATAGGTATACACCCTCGGAGACGGAGAGAGCTACCGGGAATATGGAAAATAACAAATTGAAGTTGCAATATTCGAGAATGGGGACAGGTATGAAGCCAGACCAGTATCTATATAGTTTAGCACTTCGTGCATTTATTGCAAAATGCTGGAAAACGTCGTCAGAAAAAGGATTGTGAATAATAATAATACTCCACAGGAGCCTTGATGATATATCATGTTCTTTGATACATCATGTTAATGTGATTTATCTGTATAATAATAATAATAATAATAATAATAATAATAATAATAATAATAATAATAATTTTATTCCTAAAAGTATGCGTACAGGGAACATAAGTAGGCTTACATATCTATAAGAATATTTATTGAAAGTAACAAATGATATATAATATAAAGATGTCATGATGCCAGGCATAGGCATAAACGTGCCATCTATGATGACAGGCATAGACTATTACATTATGGATTCTGTAGTTCAAGCAACAGTCCAGTTACTGGCTATTCATGCCCGCGCCATTTTTGGGTGGCTTAATCTTTATCAATCAATCAATCAACTGTCCAGAAGTAACTTTCAAGATTAATAACCAAGGTGGATGGAGGTAGAGTCCTTTGATTCAAACATGGGTTGGACATGTTTATGAGTGGGATTGGGTGGTTATAAATAGGAGCTGCCTTGTATGGGGCAATAGGCCTTCTGCAGTTGCCTTTAGTATGTTCTTATGTCATCTGTTGAGAATGGAACGGTACACTGCACAAGGCTGTTTACATTTGAAGCAGGAAAGTCGCCGGTCATGTAAATCAACACACAGCAAAAACCTTCACTCGACCGATGACCCTTAAACATGACTTGCACAAATAGTTGTTGTTGTGTGTAGCTGACATCCCTAAGGCCATCTTTAACAAGTACAGTGTAGCTGTCATCTCTAGTGCCGTCTTTAACAAGTACAGTGTAGCTGTCATCTCTAGTGCCGTCTTTAACAAGTACAGTGTAGCTGACATCTCTAGTGCCATCTTTAACAAGTACAGTGTAGCTGTCAACCTGTGGTACCTTTAGCAAGTATACAGCGTAGCTGACATCTCTAGTGCCATCTTAAACAAGTACAGTGTAGCTGACATCTCTAGTGCCGTCTTTAACAAGTACAGTGTAGCTGACATCTCTAGTGCCATCTTTAACAAGTACAGTGTAGCTGACAACCTCTGGTACCTTTAGCAAGTATACAGTGTAGCTGACATCTCTAGTACCATCTTAAACAAGTACAGTGTAGCTGACATCTCTAGTACCATCTTAAACAAGTACAGTGTAGCTGACATCTCTAGTACCATCTTAAACAAGTACAGTGTAGCTGACATCTTTAATACCATCACCACGTGCAGTGTAGCTGACATCTCTGACACCATCAACTAGTACAGTACAGCTGACATCTGTTACTATTATGAGCTAGGTTGTTCATTTTGACTTGATATAGCCTAGGTCCTTTAACATACATGAATTTACACGTGTAAAGTGAATGTTTTAGTTCACCTTTAATTAATGCTTATTTGGATACTGCACGTTAGTAATTCATTTGTAATAGTGCATGCAAATTAAGTTGTAGGCTTATGTAAATTTAGTTTAGGATGAACACAGAATGTACTAAATGTATCTCTAGTACGTAATATATTAATTAGCGTATAAGTTCTAAGGCGTTTTCGAGTTGGGATACTGATATGCAAATATAATTTATGTAATATGAAGAAAGAGTTAGGTAGTAATTAAGTATGTGGGGGGGGGGAAATGCCTTAAACATATATGCTGATATATAATTATATCTAAACCTATATCTAATTGTCGTTATATTGCAGCAATATATTGCAGAGTGATTTATTTGTCTGGGGATAGTCATTAGTGGGTCGGGATCGATCCCCAATGTCCCGTCCTTTACATGAAATGGCAAATCAGCGTATTTAGCTACCAATAATGAAAGGTGTTATGAGGGAATTAGTGGAAATTTGGGATGTTCTGAAGGCTGAGGAGGAACTTAGGCAGATGAAACAGTGTCTGCCCACAAGTAAAGGAAGAGAGCAGCCTTATGAAGATCTTATCTTGTAGTGTCACGAAGGATAAGAGACTTAAGAAGACTGATAAGCCCCTCGACAGGTTTCATGAAGACGTTCAATGCATTCGTCGGTTTGGAGAATGAGTACTGTCGGGAGCCTGCAGTGTGGCCAAAGGCAAGACGAAGAAAGAAGCACCGGTAAAAATAAATATTTTACTGGCGTTCTTTTAGTAAGCAAGCGAATTTTGATTGTAGGCTCAGGTGAAATATTCAAGTTCAAGTTCAAGTAAGTTTATTGAGATAATAAAGTGCATCTCAAAAGGATAGAGTAGCTTAGGCTATTTCTACCCTCGTCAATTTAAGGTCCCTCAAGGGGCTCACAAATCCATACAGTACACAAATATTAATCATATTTTACATTTCACATTCCAATAGTAATCACATGGTATACTGTGAGATCTCTTATTGATTATGCTGCACCTGTCATTCTTGTCTTGGTAAATGTTAACTAGACTAAACACATTGAAGAAGGTATAAAAATGAGGTCACGAGAATAATCTTAGGATGCCCAAGAAATGTTATGGCGAGATAATGAGGATGGAAATGAACTTAGAGTATTGGGGATAGAATTTCAGAGATAAATGTAGCTTCAGCCATTAGATTAATTATGACCTGAAGAGCTAATACATAAATCCTCTCATTTCAAAAGGTGAAAGAATTTAACATTGCGCGTTTAAGTACAATAAGAGAGCATATACGAGAATCTTATGTTCTAATGTTACAAATTACGATGTCGTTCAAGAATGTATTGCATTGCCAAAGAAACGATTACCACCACCATAGGAGTGACGCAACGTAGATGTAATAATTATTCCCCTCTATTTTCTTCCAAGACGAGTTTTCAGACTCTACTTTACCGCTGTCTGTGTACTCACGGAGATGCAGTCGCCTCTTGGACACTCCCAACATTTTAACGCTGCTTCTTGCTCAACATTTGTGCACCTAATACAATCAAAAGTAATGCAAGTACTGTTATTCTTAATCATGTCTTCAACTTCTATTTTTGTAAACCGTTTTTCCTTAACTTTTGTTTCAACATTTTCCATCATACTGGGTTGAACGCTGCCATCACTAGTCGATAGTTAATCTTTCCGAGACTTCCATCCGTGATAATCCATCCTGTTTCTTTCTTCTGCATTTATAATGACTTTATTTGACTCTGTAACCAGATTCAAAAACCTTGGTCATGAGGTCCCACTGTAGAGCCATGTTGTATCCAGAATAGTTGTAGCAAGTAATATGTAAACAATTTACTCGCCCCAAACTCATTAGCCTAAGAAGAGAAATAAAGCTCATATTACCACTAATTACGAAGCTAAAATCTTTTCTCTAATTACAGGCAACGTTCCTTCCACCCTTCCAACCTATTGGAGGATGGCGAGTGTAGTCCAATCACATAGTTCAGTTTAATTAATTTATTATGCACTCCATGCCCATCCTGTGGGCGGTAGTGGAAAGGGTTACAGAGGCACATAATGGGCTCAGGGACTGAACCCCACAATTCATTTAGGTAAGCAAGTTACAGTCTTGGTGAACTAGTTACAAAATTCAGTATAAGTCGTCACATCAACAATGGGTTCGAGATCGACCACAAGTACAGTTTCTAAATTAAGCAACTGACATATGTGGAGAGCTAGTGTCAATTGATATGTTTGTCCTGCACACCGCCCCCCCCCCCCCCATCCAGTGGGCAGCGGTGGATAGGTTACAATCACTTAGTTACTACCTACAGTTAACAAACTAGAGATATTTGGCTAAAATTTCTGGTAGCAGATCATTTTGAATGAAATATTTACACATCGTTGGAACATTGGTTATAGAATTGTCTCTGAATTCACGTATCTTTTCGCACTCCATCACATTGTGACGGAGGGTGTGCGAATAATTTTGTTGACACAGTTTAAGTTTGGTCAGGTCTACATCAGCAGATAATGAGAATTCCCAGAGATACTTGTAACCGAGTCTAAGCCGAGCAGTAGTAACAACTAGAAGTCTGCTGATTTTATTGGATGAACCATAGATGTGTAGCTCCTCTTGCATGATAGTATGATGATAGATGTGTGGCTCCTCTTGCATGATAGTATGATGATAGATGTGTGGCTCCTCTTGCATGATAGTATGATGATAGATGTGTGGCTCCTCTTGCATGATAGTATGATGATAGATGTGTGGCTCCTCTTGCATGATAGTGTGATGATAGATGTGTGGCTCCTCTTGCATGATAGTATGATGATAGATGTGTGGCTCCTCTTGCATGATAGTATGATGATAGATGTGTGGCTCCTCTTGCATGATAGTATGATGATAGATGGAATATAAGCAATCGAGAAGTCATCGCAGTATCTGGACCAAAAGCGCTCCCTCTCCCAGATTATTTACACTGATGGCTCCTTGCACCAGTCCTATGGTGCAACTGGAAGTGCAGTTGTGACAGCGGGAAATGGCTTCTCTTCCTTTAGGTGTGGAGCGCGTATAAATAACTGGACCTCCACTCTTCAGATCGAATGGTTTGCCATAATCCCTGCATTCAAAGAGTATATGAATCCAAGTTGACATGTTTATTTTAAGTGACTTTTTTACCCTTGATTGTACTCCGGTCACCAAGGCATAACGGTGATGTGCTGTGTCCGAGAGCTACACACAAATGTAATTAAATAATTAATGATGGAGTCAGAGTTTGTCTCCTGTGGATTCCTTCCAATATTGGTCTCTGAATACATGATATAACTGATGAGCTAGCCAAAACATTTGCTCGTAGAGGAAATTTCCATCTTGGATTGCCTTTGAACAGCCCGAGAGCAGCAATATACAGGAAACCAACAAAATCTACGAGATAAGTGAAATTCATACTAGTTACTCCATTTATCATTATATTATGCAGGGAGATCCGCACGTCAATGGGTCATCCAAAAAGGCTAGGCTCCTCCCAAACCTAGGTGTTTGCAGGCTCAGAGCGCTTCCTCTCAACGCTAAGCCTTATTCTACCCGTTTCCCAGACTATTCTTCTTGATAGTAGGTGCAGCTTGCACGAAGGGAGAGTCCTCCCGATGACTGCACCAGGACAAATGTTAGGAGACGCGCGTATGTTGAGAATGGGTCAAAAGTGACGGTCGCGAGTTGCCGTAGACAGTGGAGCGGCGACGAAAACAGGGGTGGACGGAAGAAGGAGACGTCGCTCCAGAGGGCGGCACGTTGTGTCCATGACGTCTACTAATATTTATCAGGGAACTGCTTTCCCTGATAAATATTGATTTATCAGGGAACTGCTTTCCGGTGCAAGCGTACTGCTTGCACCGGAAAGCGCAAGCAGTACGCTTCCCACAGCAGCATGTGGGCTGAGGGCGCCCGGCCACTAGGCGGTTCCGTCAGCGGATGCATCCTATCCGGCACCCCATAAACAAACTCCTTCACCCGCGGCACCCAGATAGTGGAAGAGCACCACGGGATCAGAAGCACTTCCCAGACTCACCCTACAAGCAGGTCAACAATTACTGCAAGCACAGGAACGATGTCCACCCGTCTTACATGCTTGATTATGATTGGTTAACACAAATAAGTCAATGTAACAATTGGTTTGCCAAAATATGAAAGAAGTCATTTGGAGCAGCCGGCAAGAAATGATTAGCCCTCGTTACGTTAATTTTAAGCGATTTACTTAAAATTTAAGTTCAGCCCAATGATTAGTCCTCATCAACCGACGGTCGACGATCATTTTAATTTGTTAAGTAAATCTCTGTAACGGTAGTCAAGGTTGAACATCGTAAATTGCGCAACACATTCCGATTACTTGAAACTAAATTTGAGTCTAAGCTTGATTTGTTATACACTTGCCACCTAGTGGCAATGAACGCTAACATTACACCCTCCTTTTAGTCATGTGTACGTGTTAATGCACAGTGTATGTGCGTGTCTGTGAGTAATGTGAGTGTAATGTGAGAGATGTGAGGATGAGGGAATGTGTGTAGTGGTGCTGTGGAGGTTGAGAGGACGGACACGACACTCCTCCACCAGGGAAGCCCTGACAACTATCTTCCTAGATCAAGGGATGTAAACATTGTATAAATCTTTTTTTCAGGTACATCGAGTTTACGAGAAAAGTCGTAACACACAGTAAGCAGTACAATTATATATTACATACAACATTTTGGGTGCATTACTCCATCTTACTAGATATCGTACATGATTTTGAAGTGATAACGTAATGATCAATTATCAAGAAACCCACAGACATCTTCAGACGAAATTAACAGCCTTGGTAATGGCAATAGTGACTGGGATCATGTCTGGGGTCTTGCCACCACTGTGTACAGACGGGGGTCATGTCTGGGGTCTTGCCACCACTGTGTACAGACGGGGGTCATGTCTGGGGTCTTGCCACCACTGTGTACAGACGGGGGTCATGTCTGGGGTCTTGCCACCACTGTGTACAGACGGGGGTCATGTCTGGGGTCGTGTCTGGGGTCATAGACAAACTGGAGTCTTCAGGTGTTTCATGAAGAATCTGAAGACAACAAACATTTAGTGCTTTAAACAACACAGTGATCTATTTTGTTAATACATAATTCTGAAAATAGTATTTATATTATGAATACAGAGATTTATTTTACTACAACAGCTGGGAGCTGAGGGTGTAGTCACTACAACAGCTGGGAGCTAAGGATGTAGTCACTACAACAGCTGGGAGCTGAGGGTGTAGTTTCTACATGAAGGTGTCCAGAGATGAGTGTTGACGAGAGGCTCCGCCTGCACCGTGGACGGAGCCTCCCATCTACAAATGTCGAGTCTACATCCCTGTCGACTACAGGATGACGCAGGTGGGGGTCGGTTCCTGGTGGCGGGCGGGGAGGGCGGTGGGGGAGCGGCCGCCCCTGATCACCAGGTGTAAGACAGCCACCTGGCCGCCTCCAGTTAGATGTTTCACCCAACTGCTTGCCTCCGGGTCCACGGTCCCTGAGCGCCCTGAAACCACACAATAATGAGGTTTTTTACACGCCCGAGTCATGGGGTAGGGCATGATCTTGGGTGTCAGGTGTTTCCACGGGTGTTACCTTGGGTGTCAGGTGTTTCCACGGGTGTTACCTTGGGTGTCAGGTGTTTCCATGGGCGTTACCTTGGGTGTAGGCGTAGCGGGTGTGGATGTTGACGAGGACACCCTGGCAGGCGTCCACCCAGGAGTTGAGACGACTCACCGTCTCCTCCAGCGGCTCCCACTCGCTGTGCCTACACGCGCCTCCTGAAGTGGTACAGTGGTACAGTGCTACAGTAGCATAGTGGTACAATGCTACAGTGGTACCGCCTATCAACCTCTGGAGGGGTATTAAGGCGTCCATAAGCATTTACTGCTCATCTAGCAAGTGTAATATAGTCTAGCTAGCAATTAATTGTCATTTATTTACAAGTGTCAGTCATTTCATTGTAATTGATTTTTCATTATTAATTATTTGTTAAGTTGCGATACATGATTTGCATTTGTACATTTATCCTATTGTTAATGATGACAATTATTGGCTTATTATTTGTCAATTTACTTAAATTTAAGAATTAAATTTATATTCCCATACCAAGTTTGAGTTTCGCTTGACCTGGAAATATATATATTATTGAATACAACAGAAAGGGTGAGGTCAATGATTCTAGGACAAATCTTTATATGTCTAAAGTTTTCCCTTCACTCGAGAAGTTGAAAAATTAACCTTCCAAAGTTCACTTTACAGTCTTATTATGACCAGACGCTTAGAGGCGCGTTTTCGTTTATTTGAAGTGCAGTGCCTCGCTGACTGGACATCGATGAAGAACCACAGTTACAGCCCCGCTCCTGTGCCGGGTAAGTCCGCTACGGGCTCACCATAGCCCGTGCTACTTGCCCCGCTCCTGTGCCAGGTAAGTCCGCTACGGGCTCACCATAGCCCGTGCTACTTGCCCCGCTCCTGTGCCGGGTAAGTCCGCTACGGGCTCACCATAGCCCGTGCTACTTGCCCCGCTCCTGTGCCAGGTAAGTCCGCTACGGGCTCACCATAGCCCGTGCTACTTGCCCCGCTCCTGTGCCAGGTAAGTCCGCTACGGGCTCACCATAGCCCGTGCTACTTGCCCCGCTCCTGTGCCAGGTAAGTCCGCTACGGGCTCACCATAGCCCGTGCTACTTGCCCCGCTCCTGTGCCAGGTAAGTCCGCTACGGGCTCACCATAGCCCGTGCTACTTGCCCCGCTCCTGTGCCAGGTAAGTCCGCTACGGGCTCACCATAGCCCGTGCTACTTGCCCCGCTCCTGTGCCAGGTAAGTCCGCTACGGGCTCACCATAGCCCGTGCTACTTGCCCCGCTCCTGTGCCAGGTAAGTCCGCTACGGGCTCACCATAGCCCGTGCTACTTGCAACTTTTTGTTCGCAGTAGCTGAATCCAAAACAACAACAGCAACGGCGAATAACTGTATATGAGCCGTCAGCGATCCACCCCTGACCCAATACAATTTTAAATTAACTTCGGAGAGTTTCTTTTTCAGCTTCTTTCCCAAGTGAAGAACAAGAAATATAAAGAAGATTCTGCCTAGAATCACCGATCTTACCCTTTCAGGATAAAAAAATGGATGTAGGAGGGTGGTGGAGGCTTCTTAACATACTGAGACCAGAGAATATCTACCTCAACACCACCCTTATGGAATCAAGTGAAACCAACAATGATTACTATATTATTTCTTAAAGTATTATTACATGTGTGGTACCTGCAGTCAGTTGTTTAGGGAGGAAGGTCTTGCAATGGAGGCCGGTTAGTGGTCCTGAGGGAGGCCGGAGGGCCGCCACACTCACCACACCAGGCAGGCTCATCACCTCTGTGACACACAGATATACACAGCTTTACACAGCGGTTTATCACGACTAAAACAGAAGCGAAAAAGAAACAGGGAAAAAGGAGGAAACCCCACCTCCGTTTAAAACTTTGACCCAAATATCAGAGTAAGAAGGTTATCGCGAATAACGGAACTCAATTACGGGCTCACCAAAGCCCGTGTAATGTCACACTAAGGCTATAGATGAACACTGAGCAATACTTAACAAGTACACAAGGAGGAATATATGGTCAGATAACGCCCTGATGATAACGGCAAATACGGGTTTGATAAATTAGTTAAATTTATCATGTAAGACAAATCATGGTAGTCTGCCCCCAGAAGATGAATGCAGAATGAACGAGTGAGACAGTATAGTGTTTTGTTACAGAGCTGCTAGCAAGCTCAGTGAAGCTGTCAGATAAAGCTGCCAGCTACACTGAGTTACTGAGTTCACTGAGTTGTTGATCAGACCACACATTAGAAGGTGAAGGGACGACGACGTTTCGGGTCCGTCCTGGACTATTCACAATCGACTTGAGAATGGTCCAGGACGGACCGAAACGTCGTCGTCCCTTCACCTTCTAGTGTGTGGTCTGGTTAACATACTTCAGCCACGTTATTGTGACTCATCGCCCTCACCGAGTTACTTGACCATCTTGAACACGAGCGTCCACAACTGTCAAGAGCCTCCCGCCAAGTCAGTAATTAGTGCAAGAGGCCGCCAAGCCTGGACGACGCCCACATGTGGGTACTATGGAAGTAGTAAGTTTGGCGGCGGGAGGCTGATGACCAGCCTGAAAACCATCTTTTGATGCGTTATCTCAAGATATCTTATCTGAATTTACCTGAGGGCTACCATCTCTTTAGTGGCCTCAATGGGGACAAGAAGCCTGTGCATATATATACATATTTTAGGTTTGTACTGAGGTTCCCTTCCCATAGGTAGAATTATTGACTCTCCCCAAGATGTAACCCCATAGCAGTTCCCTAACTTCTGGGTTATCTATTTACTGCTCGATGAACAGTGGCATTAGGTGAAAGGAAACGTGCCCAACCATTTATGTTCTGCCCGAGGATTCGAACCCGAATTCTCAATTGTGAGTCTATAACGTAGCCAGTGTACTTCCATCTTATAATATATTGATACACATGCCATAGGCCTAATAGATGGCATTGTTTACACATGATATCGGAGCTAGAGTTTGTCAACATATATTCCTTATGAATGATGACTAAACAGTGTTATCACAGACAAAATTACATCGCTAATGTATTAAGTAACCATAATTATTTTTCCTGATAACTTGTACAATATTAATCTCTATTTATTTACAGTCAGCGACGTTGAGTGGGTCAGAGTACAGGGAGGACCTGTTGTACAGGGAGGCACTGTGTGTGTCTCCCTCAGTTCGTCAAAAGATTGTTATTTGCTTAGCTAAACGAACTCTGGGGTTCAGTTCCTGAACCAATGTGTCTCCGTAACCCTTTACACCACCGTCCACGGGATGGGTATGGGGTGCATAATAAAGAAATTGAATTGAATCAGTTCTGCCTCTAAACACACACTAACGATGCTCTCACAAAAACTAGAAATGTAATCATGTGTCGTGAAGTTACTGGTAAGTCAAGTTTTTAAACTCTACGGCCACTTGACCATTAATAACACAAGAGCTGCTCGAGGAACTGAGCATCACCATTAATGCTTGAGGATAGCAACAGGACACGTCGAGGGTTACATTGTTGTTGGTGAATGTTGAAGATGTATCTACTGAACCGCTCTTGGGGAGTGCAACCTGTCCTCTTAAAAAGAACGTCGCTTTTGGCCGTTTACCCGTATGGCCGAATTTGGACGTAATTTGAAAATGAAAAAAAAATGAAAATAAATTTGGGATTTTTTTTTTCAACAATAGTAAGTCAAGGGTCGTCTGATAGGTTAGGTGGGCAGGAAATTCTCATAAAGTTTCAAAACGTTAATTTAAAGTGTCCTCTTATAACCTCTGCGCGTAAGCCGGACGACTCGAATAGAAAACGGAACAGAACGTCACTTTTGTGAGTCGATTTCATTTCAAATTACGTCCAAATTTAGCCATATCGCGAATACGAGCCAAAAATTGCCAGAGCGGGCCAGTGTGTGGGTAACTCTGGTAAACGGGACATGGGCCGAGTGCTCGTCCTCTCAGGGGTCTCCAGTCTTATATATACAAAGCCAGTAAAGTGAAAAAACAATATTATATATTATGGAATGTTGATGAACATTTATTAAATATCATTCCGAGCTGTTTAATCCACGTGGCTACAGCTTTTAACAAAGAACTATTTTGACAGTAGTAGCACCTATGGGCCCGGACCAGATTGTCCTCTTCTAGTCATTACTTGACATCAAAACGCCACATTTTCAAAATATGAAAATCTCACTACAAGTACTTGACTACTTAAAGCCCATCTCCTTACCGGCCACTGTGTCCTGGTCGTCCCTAGGGACGTCGTCCTCCACCGTGGACTCCGGGGCCACCTCGTCCACCGCCTCGCCGGTAGCCTCGCCCGCAGCCTCGCCGCCGGCGCTCTCCTCCGTCACCTCTGTGACCTCGCCCTCGGTGTAGGCGATGCGGACGAAGGAAAAAAACTTATTGAAGACGTGTCCAGGATTTTCCAGCATCCAGGTGGAGGCTGTGGTGGTGCGGCCAGCTTTAGCGGGCAGGACCTGGCAGGGAAGATGGAGTTGTGGTCGAGATGGGGGAGGAGTAGTGGTACATGCTTATCCACACTCCCAAAATGATTGATAATACTGGTGCTAACATCACCTATATATAAATAGAAAACATTTTACACACACTCAGCCAACCCGTCCTCAGTCCATGTTTATAAAGACCCCCCAAAAAAGAAGACATTCATCAATTTTAACATACCGTTCATTCAAACTTGGAATATTCTAAAATATAAATTAATATTATTCAATATTTGCATACTTAGGCATAGGTCATGTTAGGTGTTTATGTTCTGTTAACAATTATATGTATTTGTATCTTTTTTCTTATTTTTTATTTTCTCAACACAATTTATACTTTAATTTCAATTAGTATTAAGTTTTAGTCTTAGTGTTTTTCCTGCCCGAAACGCATTGCGTAATAGTGGCTTTAGGCATTGTATGTACCAGCTCTATCTATAAGTCCATCAACGTTTTGTATCTATGTATGTATTTTACCTGAATAAATATTTGTATTTGTAGTATGTGGGGAAAGCATTGAAACATTTACAGAGTTGTGATTCGAACAGAGGTCGTGAGCAAACCACTGTTTGAGAAACGTTCATTCCACTTTCCCTCCCTTCCCTTTCCTTCGTTCGTTCCCTCTCTTTCCCTCCTATTTTTTTTCAGAAAATAAATTACGTAATCCAAATGAATTCACATTTATAGTTTTCAAGTAAACTACGAAAGTATGCTGGTAAACCGCTAGATTAAGCTTGAAAACTTTACGGAAAACACAGATCACTATAGATGCTGATATGCCTTAAGCACGGTACTTGGGTCGACCCCGACTAGCCGATGACATGAACACACCGCTCCATGTTTCATATGTGAAAGTTGGGTGAGGCTACCCTTAAGCGTCTGGCTTCCTACTTCCGACTAGACAGAATTTGATAAATCTAGATTAGAACATATTTTGTGGCTATTACACAGCATGTTAATAAAGAGCGACAATTGTGTCTTTGGCGTCGGGTGCTGCTTGGACGAGCATGTCCTGAAGATGGGTTGTGTGACTTATGTGAAGTTATTTTTGTATTCATAAACAGAGGGCTTAATGGCTGGTTCAATGAGCATCTGGCCCCTGTTTATGGGGTCGAGCTTGATTTTCAGAGAGGAGGGCAGGGTGACCATGGTGGCAGAGAGGAGGGCAGGGTGACCAAGGTGTCAGAGAGGAGGCCAGGGTGACCAAGGTGTCAGAGAGGAGGGCAGGGTGACCATGGTGGCAGAGAGGAGGGCAGGGTGACCATGGTGTCAGAGAGGAGGCCAGGGTGACCAAGGTGTCAGAGAGGAGGCCAGGGTGACCAAGGTGTCAGAGAGGAGGGCAGGATGACCAAGGTGGTAGAGAGGAGGCCAGGGTGACCATGGTGTCAGGTAAGGGGGCTGGAGTAAGCAAAAAAGGTAGGGGGGGGGGGAGCAAGTGTGAGTGAGGGTGAAGGACTCACCTGAAGATTGAGTAGGGTGACACCCTTAGTGGTAGAGCACCACCTGAGGGCTCGCTGCATCATCTCCGTCACCGTCTCCTCGCCACTGAAACACAACACCTCGTGTCAAAGGTCACAAAGGCGGTAATAACCAGTATTAACGAGACTCACTACACACAGTCACGGCCCTTGTGGATTTGTTCATTTGATACATCACGCTATTGTGATTTCTGCGTGTAATGAAGTAAGGGCGAAGAGGTAGAACGGCCTATTAACATAGCTCGAGTGCATGGGGGGAGTTGTGCAAAATCCTGGTTTGTGTCTCGGAGAGGCTGCAGGATCCAAGTAAATTCCATAGAATTTCTGGTTGTAATTCTTATACCATGTCGTATCTCAGTCGATTAAGGCAGCGTCTGGGATGCTCTCGGACGTAGGTTCGAATCCTTGTCACGGCCCTTGTGGATTTGTTCAGTATTAACGAGCATATGCTTGTTAATAGGTCAGGTTAGGTCCTCCAAAGGCACACACACAAACAGGGTAACAACGGCAGTATATGGGAAGCTGACAATCGTTAGGACGTCATTTAAAAACCCGAATAAGGGCTCTTCCAAGGTAATCTTTACAATCTAGCTTAGTTAGACTGATACTGGAATATGCAGCACCGGCCTGGAAAGTGCAGAGATTTGCAACAAAGATTAGTGCCAGAATTAAGAGGGGTTAAGCTACGAGAATGGTCCAGGACGGACCGAAACGTCGTCGTCCCTTCACCTTCTAGTGTGTGGTCTGGTCAACATACTTTAGCCACGTTATTGTGACTCATCGCCTGCTTAAGCTACGAGAACAGGTCAGGGGAATTAATTTTCACCAACCAAGATAGACGAAACAAAGAGGCTATGATCACAGCATACAAGATACTGAAGAGGACAAGAGCAGCCTCTTTATTTTAAGACAAAGTAGGACAAGAAGACATAAGTGGAATCTGAAAACTCAGCTTCCTCGCTGAGTTTGGGGGTGTGCTGAGTGTACTGGCTGACAGGTGAGCACACCACCACCACAACAACCCTTTCAACCACAATAGCAACAACTCACCTTATGAATTTGTCTGGTTTGTTTTTTGGGACAAAGTCCAAGAGGCAGATCCTGGGTATAACGTCATATCCCTGGCCCTCTTGCGGCCGCTTCTGGTACTGCGTCACGAAGAACACCCGCAGCGAGCGGCAGTACCTGCAACACAAACCTTCACTCAGCGGCAGTACCTGCAACACGCCTTCACTCACACTACAGATTGAAGCTAGTTTTAAAGGCTGTCTTAAATGATGACAGCTACGGTGGCCTCTCATAATATGATAATTATATGCAAGGAACACCGCTACTATCACTCTCATCGTGTAATATTACATGTAAACACACACACACACGACGTACTTGGTAAAGCCGTGCTGGGAGAAGGTGAGGGAAGACTTCTCGGTGTCCACCTCGATGTCCAGCACGCCGCTCATGGGGGTGTCCTAGTGGGGGAGACGGGAGGTTATTGTCATCCTATTGTCCTCCCCACAGTGTGGTGTCCCTTCCCCACTCTCCTCCCCATGGTGTGGTGTGACCTGTCACTACCCTTCCCACAGTGTGAACTGGGGGAGTGTGTCGAGGACTCACCAGGGTCTCCACGGCCAGGATACGAACCCTGGAGGTGCGGTTCTCCAGGTACTGGTTGAGACGCTCCAACAGCACTCCGGTGTCTTCGTAGTCCCTACTGAATAGGTTCTTGCGGTCCAGGTATGGCGTGAAGTCCCGGTAACTGAGCAGGAAGCGACCGGTGACAGAAGAGGACGTGTCTTCACCAGGACCTCTCAGCCACAGACGGAGGCCCCTGTGGTGGGGATGAATCGTCTTACCATCTTTCTCTGCCACAACAACGTGGCCAGCGACTCCAATATACATAACAAAGTGTCTTAAATACACATTAGTGGTCTTTAGCATTAATGAACCATGTTATAATTGTTAATAAATATATGTTAAATTTCCACGACAGATTACAGCACACAGAATGAGTATAAGGGGGTGCACTACCCACATAATGGGTATAGGGGGATGCACTGCCCACAGAATGGGTATAGGGGATGCACTACCCACAGAATGGGTATAGGGGGATGCACTACCGGTCACATGATGGGTATCGGGTCCACTTACGATACGACAACAGATATACCTGATGTGTGTGGTGGTGGGCCAAGAGTCGGCCAGGTAGGAGGGCATCTCAGACGGGGTGCAGGCCAAGCTTTCACATCCCAGGATCTCGTAGCCTTCGTGGCGGCCAAGCCATTCGTTGGCGTGTTGAACCGTCTCGCTGAAACAATCAACACACGCGCTGGTTACTAACGACACTGCAGGCCGGGAATTGTATCACTGAATTGACTGTGCCCAACACTGTCGGTGTTGGGCACTGCTGGGCACCACAGAGGGTCGAAGTACCCTCACTTGTGCTCGGGCAGGGCAGGGCACAGCCGAAGATAAGTAGGCACAGTTCTCACCGCTCAGTCCTCAACTATATATTGCATTTCTCTGCAGAAAGCCACTACAATTAGTTACGTGGTTAAGAGCAATATACCACACTACCAACTACCACATGGGAGCCATGTGGGAGGCCAGCTGTGGCCAGCTGGTCGACTCCACTCAACATGACTCAAGTTGGTCCTGAAAAGTGACTAGGTTATAGTACTTATAATTATTAATTTATCATAATTTGTGAAGCAATTGGAACGTCATGTAGTAGTAGTTAATAAATGTTAAAATATATTAAAAATACATAACCATGATCATCACCTAAAGTACCCATTTACACTGGTAAATAATTTACGAGTGAATGATGCATAAAAATAAAAAAAATCAGATAAACATGAATGTCAGGTGTTCTCTCAAGTCGTCTGATTCAAGTATCGTACTTGACCAGTGTGACAATACTGGCATACGTGACAATACTGGCATACGTGACAATACTGGCATACGTGATAATGTTGCGTCACCTCTTGTCACTGGCGGAGGCGCTTAACAGCGCTCCTGGTTACAATATAGAGCGATTTAGGCTTTTCTAATGGGTTCCTCGCGCTCCCTCCCCCCCCCCCCGAACCATGGGCCAGAATCACGAAGCAGTTACGCAAGTACTTACGAACCTGTACATCTCTTCTCAATCTTTGACGGCTTTGTTTACAATCATTAAACAATGCGCTCAGAAGCACCAGGAGGCTGTTTATAACAATAACAACAGTTGATTAGGAAGTTTTCATGCTTGTAAAGTGTTTAATAAATGTAAACAAAGCCGTCAAAGATTGAAGAAAGAGGTACACATTCGTAAGCACTTGGGTAACTGCTTCGCGAATCTGGTCCCATACCTATTATGACCGGGAATGGTTTCATAACCTGTTACCAACCATTGCAGTGTCGACAGGTGTGTGTGTCTCTCTCCCTCTGTGTTTACTCCCTCACCCCTAGCAAGGCATTCCGCGCGTTTCTCTTATTGTTTGCTACGGGGGGGGGGGGGGGTTATCCGGCTGCGCCCGGGTCTCTCCTCCTCTCTCTTTCCCTATCTCCGCACTCTTCCCATCTCCCTCTTCCCCTCTTTGCCTTTCTTCTCTCTCATCCTCTCCACCTTCTCTCCCCCCTCTTCCACTCTCTCCCCCAATCACAACACATAAGGTGTAGCTGCTGGAGAAGACATACCAGAAGGTTTGGCTGCTGGAGAAGACATACCAGAAGGTTTGGCTGCTGGAGAAGACATACCAGAAGGTTTGGCTGCTGGAGAAGACATACCAGAAGGTTTGGCTGCTGGAGAAGACATACCAGAAGGTTTGGCTGCTGGAGAAGACATACCAGAAGGTTGGAGAAGACATACCAGAAGGTGGCTGCTGGAGAAGACATACCAGAAGGTGTGGCTGCTGGAGAAGACATACCAGAAGGTGTGGCTGCTGGAGAAGACATACAAGGTGAGGCCACTGGAGGGAGAAAAGCCTCACCTGAAGCTCTGGTAGCTGGTGGACCAGCATGTCGAGTTATCCGGGTCTTTCAAGGGAAGGAAATCCTGGTACATGAGGCCGCTGGAGAAGCCTGGCGCAGAGTTCTCCACCCACCGTCCGTTCTGTGCCGGAGAGACCACCGTCACAACCACATTCTCTCTTCCAAAAATATGAAACAAAAGAACGAGGAGATTCCAGCTTGGGTTGGAATTGGGATTCCAGCCCAACCACTTGGCCTGGAATCGCAATTGCAAGACGCAAAGATCATCTTTGACACTGAAACAGTTTGAAAAATGGTATCATTTCTGAGTTAACAATGTCACAATATGATGTAGATATATAATTGAGGTGAAAATTTAGGTGAATAGTGACCTATAACTCACCAGAGGATCAAGATGACCCTGTCGTCGTTACGAACACACACACAGAGCAGCTTGGGCAGAGCAGTTACACAGATTATCAAGGAATGTTAATCAAAAGGAAAAAATTATATATGTGCTTCCGGGGGTTGAGCTCTGGCTCTTTTGGTCCTGCCTCTCAACCGTCAATCAACTAATGTACAGGTTCCTGAGCCTACTGGGCTCTATCATATCTACACTTGAAACTGTGTATGGAGTCTGACTCCACCTCATCACTGCCTACTGCATTCCATTTGTCAACTACTCTGACACTAAGAAATAAATTCTAATGTCTCTATGGTTCATTTGGGCACTCAATTTCCACCTGTGTTCCCTAGTGCGTGTGCCCCTTGTGAGTTCAAACGAGAATACTTTTTTTGTATTCTCTCACATATTGCAGTTGGTTCTTCCTTGCTAGAATATTCTCATTCATGGTCTCGTTTGCAAACACTATCTTTATCAGGCAGTCTTTGTCGTTGTTGTACCAGCCTAACTTGAAAACATTTTCAATGCTTCATTCAACCCCTTCCACCTTTAACCCTTTTAGTATTTCATTCACTGCTGCTCTGTCCTTACCATTCCATTCTATCATACTGGAGCCTTCCTGTTCTTTAGTGCCCACTGCTACCACTGATATTTTTTTCCAGCAGCTGACTAGTGCATCTTGCTGCTTCCTGTGAGGTAGCTGCTTTCATGGCTACCTCCTTCACCGTGGACATTGCTTCTGAATTCTTTCTCAGTATTTTTTTTTTTTAGATATATACAAGAGTTGTTACATTCTTGTACAGGCACTAGTACGCGTAGCGTTTCGGGCAGGTCCTTGAAATACGATCCCCTGCCGTGAAGAATCGTTTTTTCATCCAAGTACACATTTTACTGTTGCGTTAAACAGAGGCTACAGTTAAAAAATTGCGCCCAGTAAATCCTCCCCGGCCAGGATACGAACCCATGACATAGCGCTCGCAGAACGCCAGGCGAGTGTCTTACCACTACACCATGGAGACTGTCATTTTGAGACTGGAGACTGTCAACATTTCTGCAAATGTTGCTTGTACAGTGGCAGTCCCTTCCAATAAACCATTTCTATCTTATCTTTGGATGATTATCTGATGCTCAGCCTCAGTATTGTTCTCTGTGAAGGATTTTATCTCCTCCTTTGCTGCTGTCAGCTCGCTTTGCAGGTTGCTTATTGTATTCTTCATTTCATGCATCTCCCTCTTGATTTCCTCCCAAACTTGGGAAACATTTTCTTCATTTGGTCACTTTGACTTTTTCCTGTGTCATTGGTGTGTCTCCATGTGTGTGTGTGTGTGTGTGTGTGTGTATGTATGTTGAGGTCGTAATATTCCTGCAGTGTTGTTCTTGCATGTAGAGTCGTCGATCTTTGTACCAAAAAGCAACGCTCCATTGCACTTTTGTCAAAGTTCTTGTGTTGGAGTCACACTCACACACACACACCCACTTAGGGTCTGGTAGCTGAGTGGACAGCATGCGGGACTCGTAATTCTGTGGCCCGCGTTCGATTCACGGCGCCAGTGAGAAACAATGGGCAGAGTTTCTTTCACTCTGATGCCCCTGTTACCTAGCAATAAATAGGTACCTGGGAGTTTGACATCTGATACGGGCTGCTTCCTGGGTGTGTGTTGGGGGGGGGGAGATTAATTAGTTAGTAGTTAGTAACAATTGATTGACAGTTGAGAGGCGGGCCAAAAGAGCAGAGCTCAACCCCCACAAGCACAACTAGGTGAATATACACACTGTCATAACACACTCGTGTTCCGAGACGTAAATCACCTGGCCAGCGCAAACAACCACGCTTTGCAAATCATCTCTTTGAAGAATTCAAAGGAATTTTGATCTTGAGGTCAAACACCTCAACCTCAAGGTAAGGTTGCTAACAATAGCGATCACCCGCCCGCGGTCCGCTGACACTGAGCAGAATATTAAGTTCTTGTCTCGAAGGTTTAAGCCTCAACAGTTAATGTGATCAGCATTTTTGAGAGCTTTACCTACGTGTGTTTAATTAAATCTTGAATGTTAATTCTTGTCATTTTTTGAGTCCAGTATCGATTTGCCTCTTGGCGGAAGGTTTTGCTCCTCCGTAATACATTAGCGCCTGAGCTGGCCAAGGCACGAGGACACATTTTTTTTTAATTATCAGGGAAGGGCGCCAAGCCATTACGACTTTATAGCACTAGGAAGGGGTGTGGATAAGGATTTGGGATGGGACGGGGGATGGAATGGTGGCCCAACCACTTAGACGGTCGGGGATTGAATGCCGACCTGCATGAAGGGAGACCGTTGCTCTACCGTCCACTCCAAGTGGTTGGACAAAAATGTTCAAGAGGACACAAATGGAAGCTGGAAGCGCAAATGAGACGACGAAATACAAGGAAATAATCTTACCATGTACAGGTACTTAACAAGTGGAATGCCCTGAAGGCACAAACTGTGGAAGCCACCGCCATCCATAACTTTAAGGTCAGATTCGACAATGAGAATTCAAGCGTCAGAATATTTAAATTATTATGCAACAGGTACAAGAAGGGTTGTCAGGCGGGGCGTGACAAGCCTAGACCTCCCTCCCCCGTAGTGACTGACAGGTGGACATAAAAGCGTTTACCAACTTAAATAATGTTTCATTTATGACGTTACAAGATGACTGAAGCACAGTCACATACAGCATCAAAGAGCTTCACTGCCATATAAGATGTTCACTCACACACAAAAACTAGCTTCCAAACTAAAAGTTGACAAACTTGCTCTGCTGAAGTGGAATATGAAGTCTATAACATAGACAAACCAGTGCATGTCTCACTGGCTATTAATATACACAAAATTTCGCTGAAGCATTCGTTGTGGCACTGACTAGTGGCACTGACTAGTGGCACTGCCCTCACCTCCCAGAAGTTAGAAATATCTCGGTACGAAATTGGGACAATCAAACCGCCTTAGAAATTCTTCACATGATATACAAGCCCGATTTTCCAAGTTTTGCGAGCGCTACAAATTCAAACTTTTCCTCACTACTCTCGTAAAACTTCTATAATCTTCTTAGACTCAAACTTATAACCCATATTCAAGTAGTGATCTGAATAACTGTCGACAGGCAGTTATCTAAAATATGTGACCACATCACTGCCACCACAATTGTCAGCGAGGGTCAATTCACTCACACGAGTCCGTGACCTCGTTCTCTCTTTGCGCCTAGCAGCGGCCCTTCTCTAACCTGGAACTTCTCGGCAGTGAAGGAGGCGCCAGGGAAGGTGGAGGCACTCATAGTGGCGGTGTGTCCGCCGGCCGCCCCGCCCCGGCACTGGTCGTCACAGCAACTCGTGCTCACCTGCTGCCCGCCATCACAACAAACGTTCGCACGTCACAGCCGAACATGAGGGCCAGGCCACCACATCGACCAGTGGAACATGGCTCCACCCGCCCCTGTAATTACCCACATGAATGAATACCTTTGTACTCCAGCAGACACTCGGCACCCGTCCTCACACTAGGCTGTTTAAAGCAGCGGCCGTCCTCCCCAGACGCATTCATCAATTTTAACATACTGTGTATTAAAAAGTGGTTTGTTCTCATATATAAATTAATATTATTATACATAAAAATTCTATGTATAATTAGGCGTAGATTAGGTTAGGCGTTTAGGTTCTGTTGGCGATTATTTGTATTTGAAGTACGTGGGTGAAGCATTTATAGCAACCCGTCCTCGACTCAAGTCCATTACATCCAGCGGTCAACCCCACAGACGCATTCATAAATTTTAACATGCTGTTCATTCAAAACGGGAATTTTCGCAAGTATAAATTAATATTATAATATATTAGCATATTGTGTATATATAGGCATAGGTTAGGTTAGGTTAGGTGTTTAGGTTCTGTTGGCGATTATTTGTATTTGTAGTACGTGGGTGAAGCATTTATAGCGTTGTGATTCGAACAAAATTCGTCAGTGAAGCACTTGTTCCGGATATGTTCGAACGTCAGCAGTTGTGAGTCGTGTGTAAACCGCTTTTCATTCATAAACAGGGGGTTTGGCGGGTGCATGGAATCACTTTTGGATCTTTGTTTGGAGGACGGGCTGCAACCCGTCCTCGACTCAAGTCCATTACATCCAGCGGTCGACCCCACAGACGCATTCATAAATTTTAACATGCTGTTCATTCAAAACGGGAATTTTCTCAAATATAAATTAATATTATAATATATTAGCATATTGTGCATATATAGGCATAGGTTAGGTTAGGTGTTTAGGTTCTGTTGGCGATTATTTGTATTTGTAGTACGTGGGTGAAGCATTTACAGCGTTGTGGTTCGAACAAAATTCGTCAGTGAAGCACTTGTTCCGGAAGTGTTCGAATGAAATCAGTTGTAAGTCAGCCCGTCCTCCAAACAAAGATCCAAAAGTGATTCCATGCACCCGCCAAACCCCCTGTTTATGAATGAAAAGCGGTTTACACACGACTCACAACTGCTGACGTTCGAACATATCCGGAACAAGTGCTTCACTGACGAATTTTGTTCGAACCACAACGCTATAAATGCTTCACCCACGTACTAAAAATACAAATAATCGCCAACAGAACCTAAACACCTGACCTAACCTAACCTATGCCTATATATACACAATATGCTAATATATTATAATATTAATTTATACTTGCGAAAATTCCCGTTTTGAATGAACAGCATGTTAAAATTTATGAATGCGCCTGT